CAGTTTCTTTCTGCCTTAGATTCCTTTTTGCAATAATAATGTAATCTACTCACATTTGGGGCAGGGTAATAAAATCAATAACTATCAAATATATTGATTGGTTTGTGTCATCTGGTGTCTGGTGACTGAGGATGCTTTTCTATATATGAGGAAATGGGACCTGTGGCCTTCCAGGTGTCATTTATTCCAGCTCCAATCAGCCCCAGTCAAGGCAAATGGTCAGAGATTATGGGAATTGTCATCCAACAACATCTAGAGGACGATAGGTTTCCCAGCTTTGCTTATACAGCCTTAACTGGAGTAGAGACCCATTGACCTCAGTAGGACTTACTTCTGAGATGATATGTATAGGATTGCACTGGAAAGCTTGTTAACTTTACTTGAATGATTCATATATTGTATTTCTGCTTTCTGCTTTCTCTCTCTCTCTCTCTCTCTCTCTCTGTGTGTGTGTGTGTATATATGTAAGCATTCATGCTTGTGTGTGTGTGTGTGTGTGTGTGTGTGTGTGTGTGTGTGTGAAAGTTCAGTCTTGCCCTGGGCTTACATCTATATTTTTGTAAAATATTTGTTCTCCATTTTATTCATTTGAAAGAAATGAGCTCAAGTCCACACATAAATATGTTACAGTACATTTTCTATCACTAAAACAGCACAACATGGCAACTCCTCTCGAATATTATCCTTAAAGATTGTCTTTGATTTGATTTACTATACTTCTATGCTGCTTTTCCTTAAAATGAATCCCAAAGCAGCTTCTGAACAATAAATATTAACATGATAGAGCATAATAGAGTTTCACAAATACAGTATAAATTATGAAGAATGTAATTGTTTCACTGGTTATTTATTAATCAATCAATCAATCAAGCTATAAAATACTATTAACAAAGCAACAAAGCAACAACTATAAAATAATCATTACAATCAAAAAAATCATATTATATGATTAAAAAATCAATACATCATTTATAATCTATAAATCAATCTTAACAACATTAACAAAGTAGCAAGCAAAAACAACAACTCAGCACTGTTATGTTATCTGATGGACAGGCATAAACATGACAGAGATTGTGCTGATGGGGTATCTTATTTTTTGCATGCCACAGAAACTTTTGTTGTTGTTGTAAAACAACACAGCTTTTTCTCTGATAAATGAATTGTGCCTGAAAGTGGACCCATTGAAATAAATGGGCCTAAGTAACTCATTACTAGCTAAAGTCCATTGGTGTCAATTGGTTTACTCTGTGTTTTAGTCATACCATCCTATAAAACCATTGGGAACAGTGTAAAGAAAAGGAACAAATTGTCCCATCCCAGTATTCTGTGGGTATGGCTTCTAGAAGAGACATGACCAGGGGTCATGGGCAGAATAAACATTCTGTGAAATTCTGGCAGTGGACAAAGCTGCATTGTAACTTTTGAATAAATGTTTGGTTTTAAATAAATGAATGAATGAATGTTGAATAAACATATAGCCATATATCTATTTAGTTTCCAGTTCATATTCTTCTCCAGTATTTTGGGGTTTCAAACACAGTGGGGTTTCAAAAGAACAAGGAAATATAAGTAACAATATTGCCTCTGTAAGTTGGCCAGTGTCTGTTAGGATTCTTGCTCCATGTTTGCAGTCATGGGATTGTTGTTCTATCACATGACGGTGTATGTTTTCATTCCACAGTGTGGGAAGTGATGGAGACAGGATGTTTCTGTTACTGTGTTCTGTGAAGTGGGACTATTCTCCTTTGTTCTTTCTCTTTGCTGTCTAATGAGAAAGAGGAAGGAGCTAAGTCAGAATGCTCCAAGTGTATTATATGTAACTAAACGTAGATTAGCCAAAATGCTGTGCTGCTGAGTTCTGTTACACGAACTGCAAATACTCTGCAGGATCCCTAAGTGTGCTGATGCTTCTTGGTATCAGTCACTGTGATGTTCAGGCTGGAGAAAGCTTTTGAAGCTCCCGAATGACCGACCTGGTGGGAGACAATGTGCCAGTTGGGCATGTGTCTCTGCCAGGGTCCTACACGCGAGTAGGATGATCCTAATAGTGTCACAATAATCATGTGTGTCCTGTTGTGGTTCCTGGCATGTGCTCTCCTCCTCCCCACCCCATGCCCAAGCACAGGACCACCTCATTCTGGCACTCCTTCAGAGAGCAATACAACAGAGTGATTTCAAAATGACAACAAAATACAAGCAACCAGAGTGTAGGAGGACTAGAGACAGGTGCACTGTAGGGATAGACTAGTCATTGAGAGGAGTCAAAGTACTCTGATGCTGTTGAGGTTGTTCCAATTTAATAATCTGCCTTGGGTCTAGTTAAATGTAGTGGTTCCATGAGACCAATATGTCAACATTCTGCCCCCTCTTATTGTAGACAAATTCATTAAAGTCTAATTAGGACTCTGTAAGAAGATGAACACTTTCAAGAAACTATCCCAGTGAAAAACATCAGTCTGTCAAAATGGAGCAAGGTCCTGAACCCTGGCAAATGAGTAGCTCCATACTGAAACACCCTGGAGTTTGTAGCTTTTAAAATGTGTGGTGCTTGTATACACAAATAGTGACCTGAGGCACATAAAGCCAACATTACTGCTTTCTTATAACAAATTTTTGGATGAGATGCCACTCCTATCCAAAAATCTGTCGTCATGAAACAACTGAATTTCTGTTTTAATATGCTAATTGGTAATATAACAACAACCATGATGATGTTATCAGATCTTTGATTTGAAATCACCACCAGAATGCAATTTGTATGGTATGTTGTCAGTGATGCGAGGACTCTGCTCTCAAAAACTCAAAATCCTATTTGAAAGTAATCCAGATTCCACACCAAGAGAGCCAAGATTCTGTAGCCTGTGTGAATTAAGTTAGAATACACATGTTGTTTTGGTTTTAGTTTTGCTTTTTTGCGTAACTTACTCTGGTTTTTCTAGTCATTTACAGTAGAAAGGAACTATGCACAATACCTGAGCTATTTCTTATCACTAATGGATCTTCTCCAAAGCATTGTTCTGGCTTTTGCAATTTCACAAGTGTGAGGAGTTACCTGAAAGCAGGCATTCCATCAGACCGCCTCATTGGGAGAGATGGGAAGTGTTGTGTTGGGGTATCAGGAAAGCATGTCAGAAGGAAGCAGGCCTCTCAAAGAACAAATGTCCTTTATTACTATAAGGCAAGACTAAAAGAAGAAACTCACCCTGGAGACTACAGGGGCTCAAGGGTCCAAAAAGCATTACATTCATACAGCACCCCCAGGCTTACATAGCAGGAAGCAGGGCTCACTTGCAGGCAGGAAGTGTCTTGTTTAAATGATTGTATGTAAGCCACTCTGGTAACCATTTTGGCTGAAGAGCAGGGTATGGGTGACAACAACAACAACAACACAGGCTATACAGTGGGTGTTTTAAAGGTCAATCAATGCTATAACTTCATTCATTAGCTAAAAACACTGAAAGGTGGGGAAATGCTAGCTTCTTTAAAAAAACAAATAAGAATAGAGCCTGAACATTTTGCCTCATATTTTTGGATCTAAAAATGTTTGTACAATTTCTTTTGAACAGGTTACACCTCAATTTCTACATTCCAGTAAAGAGTCCCATCCCACAAGTTTCAGTAATACCCATAAGATTCCAATTCATCTTGCTTGTTACCCATACTCTGTGCAATCGTATGGAGACAACAGAAACCATGAGTCATTCCCTCCAGCTGCTTCCTTCTTGTAGTTGCTTGCTCTTTACCAAGTTTCTGTAGCACCACTTCAGTTTTCTGTGCAGCAAATGAAGCTATTATCCCCAGTACCAGGTGTTCACCTGTCATCTGTAATACTGTCTCCCTTCTCCTTAGGATTTAGTTTAAAGCACTCCTGATCAGGTTCAGGAGACTCTTAGCAAACATATTGTTGCCAACCACTGTGTGAGGTGCAACCCATCTCCTGCTAGAAGTCCTTCCTCAAGCATATAACACCTGTGTTCAGAGATCTGCACTTGTTGCCAATCTGTGACAGGACCAGGTTCAAGGTGTTACTGTTAGTATTTAAACCCCTTAACAACCAGTCTACCTACGATATCACCTTACCCTATGTGTGTACACAATCGACAGATATGGCACATTTATAAATCAACAAAATACCTGCACCACATCTGTAGGAACATAGCATTTGGTGTGCCAGCACTGACACTTTAGAACTCCCTGATTTTTGATATCGGACAGGTGCCTTCGCTGTATTCCTTGTTGTACCTGTTAAAGGCATTCTTATTCAGATAAACCTACTCATATGTTTAGAAATTTTGCAGGAGTTTTAATTGTTTTAGTCTATTTTACTGCTGTTGTAACATTCTGCATATTTTAAATTACAGTTGCAAAACTTTTTAGTGATACAGTGGTACCTCGGGTTACAGACACTTCAGGGTTCAGACGCTTCAGGTTACAGACTCCGCTAACCCAGAAATAGTACCTCAGGTTAAGAACTTTGCTTCAGGATGAGAACAGAAATCGTGCTCCAGCGGCGTAGCGGCATCAGGAGGCCCTGTTAGCTAAAGTGGTACCTCAGGTTAAGAAAAGACCTCCAGAATGAATTAAGTTCTTAACCTGAGGTACCACTGTACTGCTTTTCAACAAGTGTATAATCAAGAAGTTCATATATCTTTTCTTCTCTTCTTCAAAGAGGATATTTCTTGAGACTTGTAGACTTCACTGGGCAGATGCTATCAATTACTCTTGGCTCTTTCAGAGGAATTGGCTATTGAAGATATCATGCAAGAGAGGAATCCTGGATATATTTCCATAGTAGTCCAGTTTCTGACCCATTGCAATATTTTCTTTCTTTCTTTCTTTCTTTCTTTCTTTCTTTCTTTCTTTCTTTCTTTTCTTATTTCCTCTCTCTCTTACTTTTTTGTCTTCCAGTTAAACATCAGCCAAGTGTCAGAGACACAGCTGCAACCATCCAGCAGTCTGTACCAAAAGTCCTATATCAATTATAAGCTTTAACATTGTCAGGCAACATACTTCTCCATCACACGTCTCAAAGCACTCTTCACTTCCTTATTCCTCAAGCTGTAGATGAGGGGGTTTAGCATGGGTATTACCACCGCATACAACAAAGAGGCCACTTTGCCTCCATTTCTTGATGTATTAGGTTGGAGATACATAAAGATAAAGCTTCCATAAAGGATAATAACAGCCATCAAGTGGGAAGAGCAGGTGGAGAAGGCTTTATGCCTGCCCTCAACTGAGCGGATTCTCAAAATAGTGGCAACAATGTAAGAGTAAGAGATAAGGACTGTCAAATGGGTGCTTATCAGGTTAAAGCTAGCAAATGAAAACATGACAAAGATATTGAGGCTGGTATCAGAACAGGAAAGTTGAAAGAGTGGGGGACCTTCACAGTAAAAATGATCAATGACATTAGGACCACAAAATGATAAACGAGTCATGCAACCTGTGTGTATCACAGCATTGACAGTTCCAGCAATGTATGAACCAGCCACCAGAAAAGCACAAACCTTCTGAGACATGGTGATTGTGTAGGTGAGTGGGTTGCAGATGGCCATGTAGCGGTCATATGCCATAGCAGCCAGGAGGTAACACTCAGTGGTGGCAAAAGTTACATAAAAATAGAACTGAACTATACACTCATTGAAAGTAATCACTTTCTTTTCCCTTAGGAGGTCTTTCAGCAGCCTGGGACTGATGGTAGTTGAGTAGCAAATGTCTAAGAAGGACAAATTACTAAGGAAGAAATACATGGGGGTGTGAAATCGAGCATCAGTCCTGATTAACATAAGCATCCCAAGATTTCCCACAATTGTGATGAGATAATTGACTAGAAACAATGCAAACAAGGTGGCAGCCAACTCTGGACTATCAGTGAATCCCGTGAACACAAACTCCTTTACTCTACTGCTGTTCCTGTCAGGCATTTTTCCCCCCTGATGGAATCAAAGAGAAACAAAATGGTGGTGGGTGAGGAGTGGGAAGATTTGGAAATCATTCACCATCAGAAATGAGGTAATCAGTCTTCACCGCTATATGTGCTTTTTTAAATAGAGAAATTGAGGTTTAAAGTCCTGAATTATGGCTGGAATATAAAATTTAAAGGATCACCATTGGTGGAGAAGACCTTTAACATATGAGGATGGTGTTTCCATATCTCCTCTGTCACAATTTAAAGCAGTGGCACTCTATTACCTTGAAATAAGGCAGTATACATAGCTTTACACAGCACAAAGAGAGGGTGATGTAGTAGGGTGGCCATATGTCCGGAACTTCCCGGACATATACGGAATACTGCAGTCGTAAGCAGTGTCCAGCTGTAAATCGACCAAAATTTATGGGACAATCCAGACACATGGCAATCCATGTTGGCAGTGTCATTTTGGGGTGATTTCAATAAAAAAGCTAAACAGCTTTAGGCAAAACTAAAAAAGCTAAACGACTTTGGCAAAAAACCCAAAAACCTTTTGTGTCCAGATTTTCACTTTTTGAAATACGGCAACCATATGATATAGGGAGGGCAGAGGGGGACTGAGCCCACATTCCGACATGTGAAGATTCCCCAGAAACACCTCTGTCTGCAGCCAACTTGCTGGTATTGAACACTTAGTGATTATTTTCAGCAGTGAACTAGGCCTGTCTACAAAGGGTGACCACTATATGTGCACATCTCATTCTGTTAAAGAAAACACATGGAAAACATATGCTCTTAAATTACACTGCATTTTGCAGTTTAATTCTGAGAATACTTCAGCGGAGCCCTTTCACTAACATGCATGCAGAAACATAGAAATCTCCTTGCTTGCAGTACTTATGACACCATCTTCCTGTAATGTTTGTGTATGTGTGTGCGCTTTGTAATAGTTACATGCATTTAAGAGAAAAATAGTTAATTGATTCTATTCAAAGTGTCCAAACACAAAATATTGGCACTATTATTTCATACTTCCAACATTTCTATGATGAAAATAGGGACGTTCCATTCCATAATGATGATTTTACTATTTATACCCTACACATCTTACTGGGTCACCCTAGCCACTCTGGGCAGCTTCCAACATATATAAAAACATAATAAAACATTAGAGATTGACTTCCGGTGGGGCGCGGATCCGGTTGCAGGCGAGGGTTTGTTTCTCTGGAGAGAGCTCTAGCTTTTTCAGCCGATTTGGGAGTTTTTGAGGGCGACAAAACTCCCGCTAACCCTCTGGAGGGTATCCAGAGGTCTAGGTGCCCAGCAGCGCCGAGGTGCCGTTCGTCAGGTCGTCAGGTAGCCTTTGAATAAAGGCGAAGAGAGCGACGGAACGAGCGGCGGCTAATTGGGTGGCCATTACAGCGGCGAATTAGCGAAGCCCCGAGCCGGCAGGCTAAGCGCCCCGCTCTCGATACAAAGAAACTCAGACACTGAAAAGGAGTGTTGGAAACAGCGTGAGTGGGGAGGATAAGGAAGTATCTGAGCAGAAAGAGAAACACCCGAGGTCAACGTCAGCTTGTCTTCATTGGAATTAGACGCAGCGCGGTTTGCAGAGCCAAAGGAGAAAGTAAGTTGCTGCTAGCGGCTACAGTGTCCGTCCCTCCCATAGACTTCCATAGAAGTTAAACCTTCTCCGGAAGCAGAGGAGAAAGGGGAACAATCGAGGGAGGGCAGAGAAGAGCGGTACTAGAAAAGAAATCCAGTCGATATAGCAACGAAGACAATGAAATATAAAGAGGATAAAGGAGACTACTGTTAAAAGGACTACTGTTAAGGCTTTTGCAAGGGGTGTTAAGTGGCTTCTAAAAAGGGGTGAAAAAAGGGAGGAAAAAACACACTCTGGACATTTTGAATTACTGTATTACCGTTCCGGGACTTCCTTTATTTGTTACCACTCCTTTGGGACTTAACTCTCGGGTTATTGAAAGAGGCAGGAACTGGGGAAGAACTGCGTGAAAATCAGGCAAACAGGAAAGACCAATTATCCAATTATCCAACAGGAAAGACCAATTATCCAATTACCTAAATATCTAAGAACTCTGCTCCTAGGGGTGAAAGGGACCGACTCCACCTGGTGGATTGAACTAAACATTGCACCTTAACTTTGGAACCTTAGACTATTTTGGGATACAGAACCTCATAGGCTAAGTTGTTGTTAAAAGACTGGATGGATTAGCCCGAATAGGGGCAAGAAGATTTCAATTAGGATATTATTGGGAAGGAGGATTAATCAATTTCCCACAAACCTCTGGAAGGGGGGATAATATTTAAGTATATCGGTTAAGATGAATGTTATGAGAAGTGGGGTCCGGCGGTTCTCTCTCTACTTTTGGTAAATTGTCATCTGTCATTATAGGCCGTTAGTATATAAGGGGGTTTATTTTATCTTCGGTGGTTAACACCTCTTTGGGTTAACTGAAAAATTTGGACAGTCTAATTATAAGGATAGGAGGACATAGATTGGGAGGACAGGTGATTCAGTGATATACTTAGTGATATAAAGGAATTCCAGAGGTTTAACGATAATGTCACATACTCAAAAGAAAGGGGCGGAGGGAGGAACCCCAACTGATAGGAGAGCCTCAAAACAAGAAACAGAATTTAAAACAGAAATTTTAAGGATGTTCGCAGAAATAAAGCAAAGCGAAAAAAACTTAGAAACAAAATTGGAACAGGTGGACAATAAAATCGGAAAAATGGATAAAAAGATTGAGGAGACAGTAAGGGAGTTAAAAGGACAGATTAAAGAGGTTTCAAAAAGAGTGGACGAGGGACTAAAAAAGACAAAGCAGGAAATGAAAGAAATGAAGCGAGAAGAAGAAAGAATGAGGAATGAGATAGCAGACCTAAATAAAATACAGGAAGAAATAAAAGACTCCATTGCAATGAACGAACTAAAACAGAGGGAGATTAATTTAAGATTGAGACAAATTCCGGAAGTACAAAATGAAAACATAAAAGAAAGATTAGTAAAGGAAATAGCACAGTGGATGGAGGTGGAGGAGGAAGATGTGGCGAGGACAATTATAAATGCATATAGAATGAAAATAAAATCAAATAAAGTCAGGAAATTTCCAGGGGACTGTTTAGTTACATTCAAAGATAGAGAGATGAGGAACCTGATTTTGCAAAGAAATAGGGAAAAGAGATTATATATCGATGGACATTACATAATCATATTTAAAGACATTCCTATAAGGCTGTTAAAACGAAGAGAACCCTATAAACCACTAGTGCAATTGCTTAAAAAGAATAGGATCAATTTCAGATGGGAATTTCCGGAAGGGGTCTCCTTCTTTTATAAAGGAGTTAAAAGAAGATTGACTAGCCCCGAGGAAATAGGAAAGTTTACAAGAAGATATAAAGAGCTTCAGGCGGGAGAAGAGGAGCCGAAAGGTGCAGAAGGGGGATTTAAATTGAGGGAAGAACTAGAATTAGGTGAAGAGGAAGATCAGAGTAGAGGAGAACTAGAAGAAGACGAAGAGGAGGAAGAAGGAGAGGAGACAGAAAGGATATAGAATAATACCTAAACTAGAGCAACACCTAAACCAATATGTCTTTAAAATTATGGAATTGGAACATTAATGGAATGAACGATAAGAAAAAACGTAATGGAATTGAACGTATCCTAAAAAAGAAAAATTTAGATATCATATGCCTTCAAGAAACTCATGTGGCCAGCAAACATAAGAAAATCCTTATTAATAAGAGGTTAGGGAATGAATTTATTTCCTCGGATAAAAAGAAAAAAAGAGGAGTAGTACTTTATATTAAAAATAATATTGAATCACACCAATTATTTAAGGATGAGGAAGGGAGAATAATAGCAGTCCGCATTAAATGGCAAAGTGAAATGTTGATAATAGTGGGGATTTATGCGCCAAATGGAAATAAAACAGAGTTTTTCAGATTACTGGAAGAGAGATTATTTGAATATTTGGATCAAAAAATTATAATAATGGGGGATATGAACGGGGTGGTCTCAACGGAAATAGATAGATTAAGGAAAACGAAGACAGAAGGAGGGAAATTACCTAAGTCATTTTTTGAAATGGTTAAGAACTGTAACTTAGTAGACATATGGAGATTGAGACACCCCCTGGAGAAACAATATACATTTCACTCTGAACCGAACCAATCGATGTCAAGATTAGACCAAATATGGATATCAAATGAATTAACACTAAGAATCAAAAAAATTGAAATACAGGCTAAAGTTATCTCTGACCATAATCCCATATTAATGGAGATGAGGGGAGTTGAAGAACGAACCTTCAGATGGAGATTAAATGATAACCTATGGGACGATCAAAAATTCGTGGAAAAAATACGGACAAAATTATTTGAGTACTTTACAGATAACCTAGACAAAGGGGTAAAAACAAGTGTGGTATGGGACGCGAGTAAGGCAGTAATGAGGGGCCTGTTTATTCAACAAAATGTGTGGAAAAGAAATAATAAAGAAAAAAGAATTAAAGAGATTTTGAGACAGATCACGGATTACGAACAAAAATTAACTAAAAAACCAAACAATGAAAGGATATTGCAGGAAATAAAGTCCCTTCAAACCCAATTTGCAATGTTAATAAATAAGGAGGTTGAGTGGAATATCAAAAGACTAAGACAAAAAAATTTCGAATTTGCCAACAAGTCAGGAAAATGGCTTGCATGGCAAGTCAAAAGGAGAAAGGAACAAAATATAATTAACAAAATACAAATAAACGGAGAAGAGATAACTGATCCAAAAGGAATTAGAAGAGGATTTATGGATTTTTACGAGCAATTATATAGGAATAAGGAGAGAAACAACAACAGGAAAATAGAAAGATACTTAAAAGGGAAAATGGTGAGAAAGATTTCGATAGAGCAAAAAGAAAGGTTAAATGCTCCTATTCTCAGAGAAGAGGTAGAGGAAGTGATAAAGGAATTGAAAAGAGGGAAAGCCCCGGGCCCAGATGGGTTCACATCGAGCTACTATAAAGAAATGAAAGATATACTGATGAATCCGTTAGTTGAGGTGATGAATAACACCTTAAAAGAAAGAGAGATTCCTAATACTTGGAAGGAGGCATTCATCACAATAATCCCAAAACAAGATGCAGATCCAACTCAAGTAAAAAATTACAGACCCATCTCTTTATTAAATACAGATTACAAGATCTTCGCCGGAATCTTAGCAAAAAGGTTAAAAAAGATATTAATAAAGATTATTCACAAAGACCAAGCGGGCTTCCTACCGGGAAGGCAAATAAAAAATAATACAAGAAGTATAATTAACATAATAGAATATTTATCGGAGAGATATGACAAACCAGCTAGCCTAATCTTTGTAGATGCGGAGAAAGCCTTCGATAATGTTGCTTGGGATTTTATGCTGAGAAATTTGGAATTCATGGAAGTGGGTCAAGAGTTCTGGAACGGTATAAAGGCAATTTATACAGAACAGAAGGCGAAGCTGATAATAAATAACGTGATTACAGAAGATATAAAAATATCTAAAGGAACAAGGCAGGGTTGCCCGCTTTCGCCGCTGCTATTCATAGTCGTTTTGGAGGTCTTACTAAATGCAATAAGGCAAAATAAACAAATTAAGGGAATAACATTAGGTTCAAATGAATATAAAGTTAAAGCTTATGCTGATGATGTGGTTTTAACGGTGGAAGAACCTATAGATAGCATAAAGGGAATTTTGGAGGAGATGGAGGAATTCGGGAAGCTAGCAGGATTCAAACTGAATAAGAGCAAGACAAAAATGATCGTTAAAAATCTGGATCAAGACAAGATAGAACTACTACAGCAACAAACAGAAATCGAAGTTGTTAAAAAGGTAAAATATTTAGGACTCTGGCTCACTAATAAAAATATTGATCTATACCAAAATAATTACATCCCGGTGTGGAACGGAATTAAAAAAAATCTGGAGGTCTGGGCCAGGATGAAACTATCATTCTGGGGAAGAATATCTATGGTCAAAATGATGGTACTCCCCAAAATGTTATTTCTATTTCAAACGATTCCCATAATAAAGGGCACAAAAAACTTTAAAGAATGGCAAAAGGCGATTTCTAGATATGTCTGGGAAGGAAAGAAGCCCAGAATCAAGTTTAAGATATTAACAGACATAACAGATAGAGGGGGCTTCGCCTTACCAGACATGAGATTGTATTATGAGGCGGCATGCCTTTGCTGGATAAAAGAATGGATAAAGCTGGAGGATACAGAGTTATTGGATCTGGAAGGGTATACGAACAGATTTGGGTGGCATGCGTACCTTTGGAGGGACAAAATAAGAGTGCATAAGGAATTCTGCAGCCATATTTTTAAGGGACCGTTGATAGAGGTTTGGAATAGATATAAGAATATTTTAGAACCAAAGACCCCACACTGGCTGTCCCCATTGGAGTTGATAAGTGTAAAGAAAGTTAATATGGAGAAAAAATGGGGCAGGTATGGAGAAATGGTAATGAAGGAAGGAGGGAAGTGGAAGGTAAAATCATACGATCAGGTTAAAATATATACATACGATTGGTTGAGCTACTTCCAGATAAATGAAATATTTAAAAAAGAGGTGAAAGAGAGGGGCTATGAAGAAAAGGTATCGACATTTCAGAGAGAGATAATAAACAATGATCATAAAAATCTGTCAAATATGTACAAAAGATTGTTAGAATGGAACACGAAGGATGAGGAAGTAAAAACTGTGATGACTCAGTGGACAAAGGACTTTGGCTATGACATTCAATTGGAGAATTGGGAAAAATTGTGGAAAGTGAATATAAAATTTACAGCTTGTGTGTTATTAAGGGAAAATATGTTGAAGATGCTATACAGATGGTATATGACACCCGTAAAACTAGCTAAGATGTATAAAACAGATAACAAATGCTGGAAATGTAGACAAAAAGAAGGAACGTTCTATCATTTATGGTGGGAGTGTAGGAAAGTTAAAAGCTTTTGGGAGGAAATCTATAATGAAATGAAAAAGATATTGTTATACCTTTGTAAAGAAGCCTGAAGCTTTCTTATTAGGTATGGTGGGAAAAGATATTAAAAGAAAGGATTGTAAAATCTTCCAGTACGCGGCAACGGCAGCTAGAATTGTGGTAGCGCAGAAGTGGAAGCAGGAAGAAAGCCCAACGATAGCAGAGTGGAGACTAAAACTGACTGAATATGCGGAGCTAGATAAATTAACAGGGAAAATTAGATACAGTAAGGATCAAAAGTTTATTGATGATTGGGGAAAATTTGTGGGTTATCTGGAGAACAAATGTTTAGTAAATACAACGCTAGTGGGATTTAAAGAGGCACTGTAAAGCACTAATAAGTACTGCCTATTGGAAATAATGTATGAAGGGAGGTATGAATGGCAGTATGAACGAATGGAATGCGTTATAAAGAAGCAAATACGAATGAATGTCAATGACGTTGAAGGAAGTCCAAAATGTATGAGATGTATTAAATACGGTTATAATGTATATATAATGGAATATTAATAAAATTTTAAAATGCAAAAAAAAAAAAACATAATAAAACATTAAACATTTTTTTTAAAAAAAACTTCCCTGTACAGGATTGTCTTCAGGCAGCTTGGGGATCGAATAAATCCATACCCTCCAACATTTATCCAATGAAAATAGGGACATCCTTAGGGAAAGTGGGACATTCTGGGATCAAACCAGAAACTGTGATGACTTATCTAAATCAGGGACGTCCCTGGAAAATAGGGACACTTGGAGGGTCTGTTATTTGCTAACAGCAATCATGTTAAATGTGCAGTTTCATTTTTTTCAAGAGAAGGGATTCAATTAGAACTTCTTTTTAACCCACTGTAGATATGAGCCCATCTCACATGTTTTGACCTTTAGAACTGTAATCTCCAGGTTGAAATTCCTGAATCAGGCCATATTTAAAGCAGTCAATAGCCTTTTGGTGAACTTCAAATTCTTGGGCTCCAAGACTCCTCAGATCTTTGGCTCCTCGCACCATTTAGGCTGCACTCTCTTCTCTGCCCTCCTATCAGACCAGTCAGGCTCTGCCCACCAGCTCCTTTCATCTCCCTCAATAAGGGGTGTCTGCCTTCTTTGACCCTCTCTTTTTCCATGACTTACTATAGTGCTTATAAGCCATCAGGAGGAGTCTGGAGGCTTGGAAATTCTTATCCTCGCCTCTACCCACCTGTAACCTATCGTGGTCAGCATGGTTAGGAGCAATGGGCTGGTCTAGCAGCTTCTATCATACCATCAGGAAGTTACCTGGGATATCATTCTTTCCTTTCCTTGTGTCCTCCAGTGGAAGCAGCTACTGAATCATTTGCTCTTTCTTAGATCCAAGAGTGGAATCTGTATTCCTCCAAGGTCCTCTAAGATTCAAACAACTGTTTGATAGGCAAGCATACTCTTGACTAAGATTGCTACAGATATTAGTGAAAGGCCTGCAGTTGCTGCATTGATTGAAAAAGTTCAGCATGTGCAACATAACATAGACCATAAAACTCTACAGTAGGGGTAGTCAACCTTTTTACACCTACCACCCACTAATGCATCTTTCTTGATGGTAACATTTCCTTACAGCTCACCAGTGCTTGATGGAAGGAGGATTCAGCTTGTGCAGTACAATCCCCTACCACCCACCTAGAATCCTGAAACGCCCACTAGTGGGTGGTAGGAACCAGGTTGACAACCCCTGCTCTACAGCATCAAATAGTTAATGGTTTCTTGTTTACTGCTCTAAGGTTGTTGACTTCCAGTTTAATAATCTGCCTTGCATCAAAGTTAAATGCAGTGGTACCATGAGACCAACATGCCAACAATATCCCCACCCCCCTTGTGTACCAACTCCTTATGGGTTAATTAGTGCTCTGTAGGAAGAGGAAAGCTTTCAAGCCACTGTTCCTGTAAAAATAGCAGACCTTTCAAAATGGAGCAAGGCCCTCAACTCAGACAATTGTGTAACTCCATACACACAATGAACATCCTGGAGTTCATAGGCTTCTGAATGTGTGGTGCTTGTTACATGCATGTATATACAAATGCACACCTGAGATACATGAAGCCAAAGTCACTGCTTTCATGTGACAATTTTTTAAATAAGATTCCACCAACTTATTAAAAAATGTGTCATCATGAAAACAGCTGGTTTGCTGTTTTATAACACTATTTGCCATTATCGGGTTTTATCCAATTTATATACAGAGTAGACCCACTGAAATTTATCAGCTATGTTAGTCATATCCGTTGATATTTTGAGTAGGATTAGTGCTCCATGGTTTTTATTGTTGTGTTGTAGTTTAATGAATTGTTTATGTGCTGCCTGGGTACCTTTGGGTTGAAGGGTGGATTATAAATACAACAACAACAACAACAACAACAAGGAGAAGCATGATGATGTTATCAGATCTTTTTAATGGAAATCTCCACTAGAAAGCAATCTGCATGGTACATTGTCAGTGTTGTTAGGACTCTGCTCTCAAAAAAACCAAAATATTATACTAAGTAACCCAAGAGAACCAGGGTTCTGTGGCCTCCTCCAAAACTTCCCTGCAGCTTCAACAGTTTCACAAGTATGAGGCACCAACTAGGCTACCACTGACTTCTGCTCTGTACTCTGGGCAGCCCAACCGGAAGTAAACACAAGTATATGGAGGTCACCAGATGGGCAAAAGCTGCTCAACTCTAACTTTCCCTTCCTCCAGCAAAATGATTTTAACAACAATGGGTATAATGCTGGACTTTATCTGATTGGTATTAGGAGAGTGTATTTTTTTTATGTTTACATACCCAGTAGGGCAGGAATCACCTTTTTAATGTATGAAACAAGACCTAAATTAGAAAGCTCATGAACTCCAGTCATTTTAGCTACCTGTTGTTCTTAAGTTGGCACACAGTATACCATCTTCAATCCCAGCTACAATAAAGTTTTAAAAACCAGTTTATTTGTTTTCTGTGGAGCATCAACTACTTCTCCAACAAAGAAGACCAGAAGAAAGGCTTAATAAAAACAAAACAAGAAGTTCCTTCTCTAGAGTCTAGACAATGGGTGCTTAAAAGGTGAAGCAATGCTATAACCTCATTCCTTGGTTACTGAAAGGTGGCAGCAAGACAAAAGAAATGAGAGTAGTGTCTAGAAACTGGGATGTTGCAGACGCTAGAAACTGGGACATTGCAGACTAATGCTCATCCAGGGGATGAGCAACTGCTGCTTTTGCAACCCTTCCCCATGGAATCCCATGTCTTTTATACAGCGTCCACTAGAACACCCTGACTCGGTAATCACAACATTACAAAACCCTCAGCAGTATGGACTGATGTAATACTAATAGCAGACTGTGTGGCCTTCATCAATCCATGCTCAATCAGCCTCAATGTGACTATTTAAAACATTATTTAAGTGCCTTGTTGAATCAGTTGAACGCTCATCTAGCTCACCATCTTGTCACCAACATGAGCCAGTCAGAAGCTTCTGCATGCAGGGAGTTTTGGTGCTGACCATCTTCCTGTTGCTTGTCCCAGATATATGCTTCTTTTATCCAAAGAGGTTTCCATTAGCAATTCTGACTAGAAGCCATTGAGGTATCTATCCAATATAAATATGCCTAATAAGATAACTCTCCATGAAATCACACTTCAAAACAACCTTGACAGATTAGAGAAATGGGCCAAAACAAACAAGATGAACTTTAACAAGGAGAAATGTAAAGTATTGCACTTGGGCAAAAAAAATGAGAGGCACAAATACAAGATGGCTGACATCTGGCTTGAGAGCAGTACATGTGAAAAGGATCTAGGAGTCTTGGTTGACCACAAACTTGACATGAGCCAACAGTGTGACGCGGCAGCTAAAAAAGCCAATGCAATTCTGGGCATCAATAGGAGTATAGCATCTAGATCAAGGGAAGTAATAGTGCCACTGTATTCTGCTCTGGTCAGACCTCACCTGGAGTACTGTGTCCAGTTCTGGGCACCACAGTTCAAGAAGGACACTGACAAACTGGAACATGTCCAGAGGAGGGTAACCAAAATGGTCAAAGGCCTAGAAACGATGCCTTATGAGGAACGGCTAAGGGAGCTGGGCATGTTTAGCCTGGAGAAGAGGAGGTTAAGGGGTGATATGATAGCCATGTTCAAATATATAAAAGGATGTCATATAGAGGAGGGAGAAAGGTTGTTTTCTGCTGCTCCAGAGAAGCGGACACGGAGCAATGGATCCAAACAACAAGAAAGAAGATTCCACCTAAACATTAGGAAGAACTTCCTGACAGTAAGAGCTGTTCGACAGTGGAAGTTGCTGCCAAGGAGTGTGGTGGAGTCTCCTACTTTGGAGGTCTTTAAGCAGAGGCTTGACAACCATATGTCAGGAGTGCTCTGATGGTGTTTCCTGCTTGGCAGGGGGTTGGACTCGATGGCCCTTGTGGTCTATTCCAACTCTATGATTCTATGATTCTATGAAATTTGTCCAAAGTAAGGACTATAATATGAGCTTACCTTACAGGGGTTTGGTAAGATGCCAGAGAGAATGTATGTAAAGTGCTTCAAACATTTAGTTATTTGCTTTTATTTGATCAGAATATGTATCTATACACATAGCTTTTCAACATCTGGACTCAAAGTAGTTCATACAGTAAAGCTGAGCAACAACTTGAAACACCATAAAGTATATTTCACTTCTATCTTCTGCTCTCTTAGTCAAAAAGGATATTCATTGAGTCTTCAAGGCTTCACTGGGAAGTTGCTATCAACTTCTTTTGGTTCTCTAAGAGAGGCAGCTATTGGAGAAGTCCTATTGGAAAATAGTCCTTGAAATATTTCCACAAGGCCCAGTTTCTGCCACAAAATTACTTATTCTTTTTAAATATTCCAGTCAAATATCAGCCAAATCCCAAATAAACAGCTGCTATCCTCCAGCAGTCTTCACAGAGCATTCCATATCAACACTAAACCTTAACATTGTCAGGCAATACGCTTCTCCATCACCCGTGTCAAAGCACTCTTGACTTCCTTGTTCCTCAAGCTGTAAATGAGAGGGTTTAGCATGGGAATTACCACCGCATACAACAAAGAGGTCACTTTGCCTCCATTCGTTGAATTAGGTTGGAGGTAGATAAAGATCAAACTTCCATAAAGGATGATAACAGCCAGCAGGTGAGAGGAGCAGGTGGAGAAGGCTTTGTGCCTGCCCTCAGCTGAGCGAATTCTCAAAATAGTGACAAAGATGTAAGTGTAAGAGATAAGGACGGTGAAATGGGTGCTTATCAGGTTAAAGCCAGCAAAAGCAAACATCACATACAAATTGATGCTGGTATCAGAACATGAAAGTTGAAAGAGTGGAGGACCTTCACAAAAAAAATGATCAATGACATTAGGACCACAAAAGGATAAATGAGTCAAACATCCTGTGTGTATCATAGAATTGACTGTTCCAGCAATATATGAACCAGCCACCAGAGAAACACAAACTTTCTGAGACATGGTGATTGTGTAGGTGAGTGGGTTGCAGATGGCCATGTACCGGTCATATGCCATAGCAGCCAGGAGGTAACACTCAGTGGTGGCAAAAGTTACATAGAAATAGAATTGAACTAGACACTCATTGAAAGTAATCACTTTCTTTTCCCTTAAAAGGTCCATCAGCAGCCTTGGACTGATGGTGGTTGAATAGCAAATATCTAAGAAGGACAAATTACTAAGGAAGAAATACATGGGGGTGTGAAGTCGAGCATCAACCCTGATTAACATAAGAATCCCAAAATTCCCCACAATTGTGATGAGATAATTGACTAGAAACAATGCAAACAAGATGGCAGCCAACTCTGGACTGTCAGTGAATCCCAAGAAGACAAATTCCTTCACTCTACTGCTGTTCCTGTCAGGCATTTCCCCCCCTGATGGAATCAAAGAGAAACAAAATGGGAAAACTGCTTAGTAGTTTTCTGTCTGAAATGAGGTAAGAAATCTCCACAGTTATATGGGTTTTTAATCCCTAGAAGACGACAGCATTGTCATTAAAGGATGGTAATCGGTGGAGAACAGAACTTCATGTAGATGAGTACAGTAGAATTTCCATCTCTCCAGCTTCAGAAATAAAACAGAGTCACTACATTACTTGACATAGTGTTGCAATAAATAGCCTTACACAACATAAAAGCTTGTAACTTTAGGAAGGGCAAAGTGGCACTCAGCCACAACCACACCCTAACCCACGTGTAGCCAACTTGGCTGATGACTGATCAACCTGCTTCTGAGCAAAAGGTTGCTCTAGCAGCTTCTACCCCGCCATCAAGAAATTACCTGGGATATCATTATTTTCTTTCTCCAGTGGAAGTTTCTACTGGTGCAACTGCTCCAATTTAGGTTCAAGAGTGGACTGTATTCCTCCAAGAACCTATAAAATGCATCTTACACTGTTTGATAAGGAAATATCCTCTTAGCTTGAATTGCTACAGACAAAGTGGAAGACCTGAAGTTGCTGCATTGACAGAAAATGTTCAACATGTACAGCATGACATAGTCCATAAAGCTCAACATAATCCAATACGAAATGGTCTAAGATGGTTGACTTCCAGTGTAATAATTTGCATTGGGTCTAGTTATATATGATGGTGCCATGAGACCTAGATGCCAACAACAACTGTTTCCCCCTTCAGGTAAACAACCCCCTTAAGGGCTAATTAGGACTCAGTAAGAAGAGGAAAACTTTCAAGGTCTTGCACCTGGTAGAAATATCAGGCCTGTCAAAATGGAGCAAGGCACTCAAGTGAGGTGCCTGAGTAGCTCCATACATGCTATAGATACTATGGAGTTTATAGCTTTCTGAATGAGTGGTGCTTCTTCCCATGGCATCTGTCCTTCTGCAAGACCTGTTGCTCATCTACTATTACTCCCAGAATGCCATGTGTCTTATTATCTGAGAACAGGACCATCTCCTTCCCTTGGGGCACAGCCCAGTACTTTGCTGCCCTCTCCATCATTCTCATCTCTTACATCTTATCACACCCATGGAGTGTCAGGCTTCAAGAGAACAGCTTCCTCCCTCCCTTTTTCTGTGGATAAGCCGAACAAAGCAAAAATTGTTAGGATATTTCCGTTCCACCTTAAAAGGGAGCAGGCTTTGTGAGTCAGAGTCTGCGTATTTCCTGTTTCCACAGGATGTTTATGTTGTGTCTTTTGTTTTCGCTCTCTGTGTTGTAGACACTAAAGCAGGCAGTCATGTTTTTCTGTGTTCTGATCAACGCTGAATAAACTTGTAAATAATGCTCTCCTGAGTGCGACTTTGGCTGTGCATTATCTGCTGATAGAGTGTGCATGAGCTCTGGAATGTGGCAAGCTATTTCTAGAAACTCATGTCACTAATTGCTGATACTGCGTGCCTACGGGAGATCGATGGATCGTCCGGCAGCCGGCTTGGGGGCCATGATGGACTTTGTCTCCCTGGCAGTATCCCAACAAAAATAGTCTCTTATCATTCAAAGAGATTACATAAGGAATCCAGCTCAAGAACAATGTGTCCATCTCAGAGGAAAGGTGCTCTCAATTAAGGTTTCTACCCACTTCCCCCATAGTCACTTCCGCTGCTTGCAACCTGATCTTGCAACCACCGTGCCTTTTGTGCAGCTACCTTATTTAATCTCCTGGAAAACAGGACACTTTCCAGCAAACCAGAGTCTGTTAACTCTCTCTCCCTCCCTCCCAGTTCTTCTTCTTCTAGCTGTCACCCCAAGTTCCTCCCAACCTTTGTCTTCTGAACTATATCCCTCTGCGAACCACTGTTCCAAATCTATACTGTCCCACTGCTCCTGGGAAGATTCAGGATCCTGATCCAGGACCGGGGGGGGGGTGTTCCCACCATTCCTCATCTGTGCAGCCCTCCTCAGCATGGACCCTGACATGAAGTCTTCTTCTGTGTATGTCTTTGAGCAAGACAAATAGGTGTCTGCGTTCTACACTCTAGTGCTCTTCATGCTCTTCATGCAGTCCTCTGATCTGCAGCCTGAGGAATAAAGGCATTACAAAAGCTTTCAGAAAACACATGAACAAGGAACAGAATTCCATCTTAAACTGAGATCCAGTGTTACTACTGATTCTCTTTTTGTGAGCTCAGTTATTAAAATGAAACTAATTTTACAGTTTTCCAAATGATTTCCTTTCACTTGTAACTGAATAAGAAAACAAGAGACTTTGGTTTTGTATGACATTCAGTGAGCAATTTGGTGCAAATTAAAACCAACTAAAATGTTGGCTAGTTTATCAAAACTCAAATCCAACGTACAATGTAAATCTACATGGTAGCAGGCAATTTTAAAAGGGTGTTGTTGCCAGTAAATAAAATAAGCAAGTAAAATCTATTTATCTTTTTTCAGTAGCATTGCTAAGATTGTTTAAACAGAACTCCCTCACAGGGATAACTGCAACAGAAAACTACATAAGGTTTATTGTGTCGTAGAAAAAAACATGATTTCTGGTATTAACAATGTTTTTGATTCCCAATTTAATAATCTGTCCTGGACCTTGTTAAATGCACTGGTGCCATGAGAACAACATGCCAAAAACTGTTTCCCCCTCTTATTATAAATAAACTCCTTAAGGGCTAATAAGGACTCTGTAAGGATATGAAAGCTTTCAAGGACTGGTATACAGTGTTGTATTCATCTAACATATATCAAGAGTAGACCCACTGAAATATATAGGCCTAGATTCGTAATGTCCATTGATATCCATGGGTTTACTCCAAGTAGGACATACACTGGATGCAATCTACACCTTTTCTTTTGTACTCTTGATCATATTTTCATGAATGGTTTATGTACTGCCATGCATACTTTTGGGTTTAATTAGATGAAGACTCATTCACCCCAGCATTCTGTCTCCCGCTTAGAGGTGCCAAGTTCCAAGGGAGAATGGGGGCAGAACATCAGGTCATTGGGAGGAATCAGGAGGTGAAGCTGAACATAGCAGCAGCAGACCTTCAATGGCCAGTGGCCATTCCTCCTCTTGCCACCACAACTGCCTGGGAGCTGCTTCCCTGCTCCTTCTCCTCCACAGCAGTAGAAGGAAAAGGTGCCAACCACTGATATCATGTCCCACTCAGCTCTGCACTTGGCCTCCTGCACCCCCTTTGAATATTGGGGACCTGGCCCCCTCCCTAAAAATATTGGGGGGGAGGGCTCAGCCTCTGGGAGATGCCCTCCCACATGAGCCAGCCTGCGCTTCTGTTAACAGGGAATGGTAGTGTTGCACATCTTCCTGTTTCTTGTCTTTGATGTATACTGCTTCTGAACAAAGAGGATTGATTTAGCTATCCTGGCTAAAAGTAATTAGGGTTTCTATCCTCTATTCATGACCTGACTTTACCCAGTGTTTACATACCCTCCATGACTTTACCCAATGTTAGGAGAATAACACCACATTACTTTACATGATTGTTCCACAATACCAGAGAGAATGCATGTGAAGGACTGTGAATATCTAGTTATTTATTTCCATTTATTTAGAATCAGTATATACTGCTTTTCAATGACAAATGTACAGTACTTAACGGAATTTATGCTTTAAAAGTGGACAACAAATTAACACATCCTAAAACATATTACTCCACTATTATCTTTTCCCTTACTCAAAGAGGATATTCCTTGAGACTTGTAGGCTCTACTGGATAGATGTTTTTGGCTGTTTAATCAGACCAGATGGCATATTGGAAAGAAGCCCAGGCAATTTTTCTGCAGTTTCTGACCCACTGTAATCCTTCCTTCCCTTTCGCTTTCCAGGTTTCAGTCAAACTTTAACCAGATGCCAGATACATAACTGCAATCATGCAGCAGTCAATATTTATATAAAGCTTACTGTACAAATAGTTAATATTGTTCACGCGGGGGCAATGGCCAGCCCCCACGTGTGGGGTGTGGGAGGGATTTCTGCCAGCAACCCCCTCTCCTCCCAGGTCGGAAATGGCTTTAGCGAACATACTTCTCCACTACCCGTCCCAAAGCACTCTTCACCTCCTTGTTCCTCAAGCTGTAGATGAGGGGGTTTAGCATGGGTATTACCACTGCATACAACAAAGAGGCCACTTTCTTTCCTTTGGTTGATGAACTAGGTTGGAGATACATAAAGAAAAAGCTTCCATAAAGGATGATGACAGCCATCAGGTGAGAGGAGCAGGTGGAGAAGGCTTTTTGCCGACTCTCAGCTGAACGGATTCTCAGAATAGTGACAACAATATAAGAGTAAGAGATAAGGACTGTCAAATGAGTGACCACCAGGTTAAAGCCCACAAATGCGAACATCGCATACAAATTTACACTTGTATCAGAACAGGAAAGTTCAAAAACCGGGGGACCTTCACAAAAAAAATGATCAATGACATTAGGGCCACAGAAGGATAAACGAGTTATACAACCTGTGTGTATCATAGCATTGACAGATCCAGCAATGTATGAACCAGCCACCAGGCAAACACAGACTTTCTGAGACATGGTGATTGTGTAGGTGAGTGGGTTGCAGATGGCCATGTAGCGGTCATATGCCATAGCAGCCAGGAGGTAACACTCAGTGGTGGCAAAAGTTACATAGAAATAGAATTGAACTAGACACTCAGTATAAGTAATCACTTTCTTTTCCCTTAAGAGGTCAATCAGCAGCCTGGGACTGATGGTGGTTGAATAGCAAATGTCTAAGAAGGACAAACTACTAAGGAAGAAATACATGGGGGTGTGAAGGCAAGCATCGGCCCTAATTAACAAAAGCATCCCAAGATTCCCCACAATTGTAATGCCATAGTTCACAAGAAACAATGCAAACATGGTGGCAGCCAACTCTGGACGATCAGTGAATCCCATGAACACAAACACCTTCACTCTACTGCTGTTTCTGTCAGCCATCTCTCTCCCCCCCCCCCAGAATCAAGGAAAACAAAGGAGGATGAGTGAGGAATGGGACAATTCTTATTAGTTTGCTATCAGAAATAAGGGAATCAGTCTTTTCAACTATATGTATTTTCTTACAAATAAATAAAAGACAGACAGAGAGATTTTAACCCCTGAAAGTTGTCAGGACTATGGGATTTAATGCAAACAATGCAAACAAGATTGCAGCCAACTCTGGATGATCATTGAATCCCAAGAGCACAAACAATTTCCCTCTGCTGCTGCTCCTGTTGGCCATCTTTTTCCCCCTGATGGAATCAAAGAGAAACAAAATAGGAAAACTGCTTAGTAGTTTTCTATCTGAAATGAGGTGAGCAACCTTCACAGTTATATGGGTTTTTAAAAAGAGAGAGGTTTTAATCCCTAGAAGACGGCAGTATTGTCATTAAAGGATGGTCATTGGTGGAGAACAGAACTTCATGTAGATGAGTACAGTAGAATTTCCATCTCTCCAGCTTCAGAAATAAAACAGAGTCACTACAATACTTGACACAGCATTGTAATAAATAGCCTTACACAACATAAAAGCTTGTAACTTTAGGAAGGGCAAAGTGGGACTCAGCCACACCCTAACCCACATGTAGCCAACTTGGCTGATGACTGATCAACCTGCTTTTGAGCAAAAGGTTGCTCTAGCAGCTTCTACCCTGCCACCAGGAAATTACCTGGGATATCATTATTTTCTTTCTCCAGTGGAAGTTTCTACTGGTGCAACTGCTTCACTTAGTTTCAAGAGTGGACTCTGTATTCCTCCAAGAACCTATAAAATGCATCTTACACTGTTTGATAAGGAGCTTGAATTGCTACAAAGTGGAAGACCTGAAGTTGCTGCACTGACAGAAAAAGTTCAGCATGTACAGCATGACATAGTTCATACAGCTCAACATAATCCAATACAAAATGGTCTAAAATGGTTGACTTCCAGTGTAATAATTTGCATTGGGTCTAGTTATATACGATGGTGCCATGAGACCAAGATGCCAACAACAACTGTTTCCCCTTCAGGTAAACAACCCCCTTAAGGGCTAATTAGGATTAGGCAAGAAGAGGAAAACTCTCAAGGTCTTGCACCTGGTAAAAATATCAGGCCTGTCAAGTTGGAGCAAGGCACTCAAGTGAGGACCCTGACCTCTCTGCCAATTTGGATACAATAACGGAACTGGAGGCCCCTCGACTGTCCTCGGGTCCAGTATTGGGCCACTTTGGCCGGATATCCCCAGCCGATGTAGACAGAGTCCTCTGAGCTGGAAAGCCCACCATCTACCCTCTGGACCCGTGCCCATCCTGGCTGATTAGAGCATGTCCAGACAAGGTGCGGGGGCCCCTCAGTGAGATCATCAATTTGTCCCTTGGCACCGGGACATTCCCAGGGGAACTGGAGGAGGCAGTGGTGCACCGGCTCTTAAAGAAAACATCATTAGATCCTTTAGATCTATCCAATTACCACCTGGTTTCGAATCTTTTGTTCCTGGGTAAGGTGATTGAGAGTGCAGTTGCTGAACAGCTTGGTGGGTTTCTGGATGAAACATCGGCTCTGGATCCATTCCAATCCATCTTCCAGTTTGGACCACCTCTCCTGGTATGTCCCACGGAGGACCTTACGGAGGACAATATAAGAGTAAGAGATAAGGACTGTCAAATGAGTGACCACCAGGTTAAAGCCCACAAATGCAAACATTGCATACAAATTTATACTTGTATCAGAACAGGAAAGTTCAAAAACCGGGGGACCTTCACAAAAAAAATGATCAATGACATTAGGGCCACAGAACGATAAATGAGTCAAACATCCTGTGTGTATCATAGCATTGACAGATCCAGCAATGTATGAACCAGCCACCAGAAAAGCACAAACTTTCTGAGACATGGTGATTGTATAGGTGAGTGGGTTGCAGATGGCCATGTACCGATCATATGCCATAGCAGCCAGGAGGTAACACTCAGTGGTGGCAAAAGTTACATAGAAATAGAATTGAACTAGACACTCAGGATATGTAATCACTTTCCTTTCCCTTAAGAGGTCAACCAGCAGCCTGGGACTGATGGTAGTTGAATAGCAAATGTCTAAGAAGGACAAATTACTAAGGAAGAAATACATGGGGGTGTGAAGGCAAGCATCAACCCTAATTAACAAAAGCATCCCGAGATTCCCCACAATTGTAATGCAATAGTTCATGAGAAACAATGCAAACATGGTGGCAGCCAACTCTGGACGATCAGTGAATCCCATGAACACAAACACCTTGACTCTACTGCTGTTCCTGTCAGCCATCTCCCCCCCCCCCCGACAGAATCAAAGAGAAACAAATAAGGATAACTGAGGAATGGGACAATTCTTAATAGTTTGTTATCAGAAATAAGGGAATTAGTCTCTTCAACTATATGTTTTTTCTTACAAATGAGAGAGAGAGAGAGAGAGGGAGGGAGAGAGAGAGAGAGAGAGAGAGAGAGGAGAACATGAGAATTTATTTACCCTCTAGCCTGTAGTCTAGTCTTTTACAGACTCTGTCCCATAGCTTCCAGCCTGTAAAGAAGTTGTGGAATTGTTTACACAACACGTGAGTCCATGGTGTGTCTTTGGACAGAGAAATGGTCACCCTTGGATCTGGACCACTGGACCAAAGTGGTTCCCCATCCCTTTCTTAAAGTACAACATTTGGAGAAGTTGTATGAATAGCAGGTGTTTTGGAAGCAGGTGCCTTTATCTGTTTCAAAAACAGCTTTTGTAAAACACAATATTTATTTATTCCCAGAAGGCACTTTTGACCTCCTGGTTCTTCAGGCCTATAAAAGTGAAGCAAGTTCTTCAACTGACACAACTTACTAGCTCCACACTGGAGTTTGTAGCTTTCTGAATGTGTGAGGCTTCATACGTGCATGCATATACAAATGCTCTCCTGAGGCATAGGAGGCCAAAGCCACTGATTTCTTGTTACAATTTTTTGGATGCCACCATGTTATCCTAAAATGTGTCCGAATAAAAACAGCTGGATTACTGTTTTATAATGTTAATTGCTATTATGGGGTTGTTTCCAACTATCCTATACCCAGAGTAGATCCACTGAAATGTATGGGCCTAAGTTAGTCATGTCCATTGATTTCAATGGGTTTGCTTTGAGTTGGCCTGACATGGATACAGCCCCTGGTTTTTATGTCATTTTCTTAGTTATATTTTCATGATTTTTGTGTATTGCCCTGGGTTCCTTTGCATTGAAGGGTGGGTCATAAACACAACAACTATGATGACGTTTTTCTATTGTTATGAGTTGGGGGGATGTGTTGCGTGGTATGCCTGACTCCGCTTCTAATTGCTGGATGGATTCAATTTCTGGAATAGCCAGGTTAGCTTTCTGGAGAGGTAATTGCCCACTAGGTATGGACCATTAAGGTAACAAAGGAAGTGGTTTTGTGCCAGACAGAAAATGGGTGGGGCCCCCTCCCTCAATGGTTGGGTGTGTGAGTTAGAAGGTAGAAGCTGGCAGGCTGGGCAGCTGGGAGATAGAACCATGCCTGATTTCTGCTGGAGTTCAAGGCTCTGGCTATGGAAGAAGCAAGACCATCTTGGGGTGTTAATGCTGTGTACCCCTCCATCATAGGTTCAGATTGTGTGTGTGTATACACACACACACATATATATATACACACACCATATATCATAAAGACACTACAGTCCCCAATGTCGATCATTCCGAAGGAAACCAAACACTGAGTAAGTGCCTGGAGCCCCTGGAATCAGAGATTGGGGTGGCGTGAAACAGTATCTTTTATTGGAAATCACCATAACAATGCAATTTCCATGACATATTGTCAGTGTTGTGCAGACTCTGCTGTCAAAAGCATCGAAAGCCTATCCCAAAGTAACTCAGTTTCCATACCAAGAGAATAAGGATTCTGCAGCCAGTGGCGTTTGTAATTTCACAAGACTAAGGGGTTAAGCTAAGTTGGCACTGATATCTGCTGTGAACTGTGGCCAGAAGAACTGGATGTAAACATAGCAAAGAGTGGACACTGAGTTAGGTAGTGGCGGCTGGCTCTCTCACTCCACAGCTAAAGAAGGTGAATAAATTCTGCATTGGCATTAGGAAAGTAGTTTTATCACAGTTATCTATTAAGCCTTATTCCACACAGAGAAAAGTGAACCCTCCTTGCTCTCATCTAGCAGTTTCCTCCTCTTCCCCCAGCCTCCCACGCAGAGAGATCCTTTCTATGCTGCGTCTCACACAGGTTACTTCATCTTCCATAGTTTTTTTTCTTAATGTTTGCTAACCTGAAAGTGTGGAGTTGTCACCTTTTTCATGTGCGAGAGAAGGCATGAACTAGAAAGCTCATGAAGCTCAAGTCTTTGCTGCTTCCTTTAGTTCTTGAGTTGACGCACTCTACTCCCCACTCATGGCCCCAGGAAACTTCTTGTCCAAGATATCGACTGCTTTTGAACAAAGGGGTTTCATTTATGGTATTTTCCCATGTATAAGACTATGTTTCTTTCCTTAAAAATAATGTCAAAAATTAGGGGGCGTCTTATACACAGATACATCTCCCCCATTTTCTTAAATCTGAGTCCTGCAAAATAGGGGGCATCTTATATATGGGGGAGTCTTATAGACAGAAAAATACAGTAGTTATCCTGGTAAAAAGTCACTGACAGATCTGTCCAAGATAAATGTGTTCAATCAAATTTTCACCATGGATTTCCCCCTGCGTTACTAGCTTACCTTACACGGTTGTTGTATGATACCAGAGAGAATGTATGTGTAGTACTATGAGCATTTATTGAGAATATGTATATGTTTCTTTTCCATTACAAATGTACTCAAAGTAATTTACACAGTAAAATTGAACAAATATTTTAAACATCTTAAAGCATTCTTCTCTACTATATTCTGTTCCATTTCTCAACTAGGATGTTTCTTTCCTTGAGTCTTATAGGCTTCTCTGGGTAGATGCTTTTGACTCTTTCAGGGGAGATGCTATATTTGAAATTAATCCTGGAAATGTCTCCACCCGGCCCAGTGCAATCTCCTTTCCTTCCTTCCTTCCTTCCTTCCTTCCTTCCTTCCTTCCTTCCTTTCTTCTTTCTTTCTTTCTTTCTTTCTTTCTTTCTTTCTTTCTTTCTTGTGTTTCAGTCAAACATCAGTCAGATACCAGATATACCTTCTAGCAGGTTTATATAAAACATAGAGTTTTATATAAATATTAAGCGTTAAATTGTCACATAATATATTTCTCTATCACCCGTCTCAAAGCACTCTTCACTTCCTTATTCCTCAAGCTGTAGATGAGAGGATTTAGCATGGGTATCACTACCGCATACAACAAAGAGGCCACTTTGCCTCCATTTGTTGATGTATTAGGTTGGAGATACATAAAGATCAAGCTGCCATAAAGGATGATGACAGCCAGCAGGTGAGAGGAGCAGGTGGAGAAGGTTTTGTGCCGCCCCTCAGATGAGCGGATTCTCAAAATAGTGGCAACAATATAAGAGTAAGAGATAAGAACTGTCAAATGGGTGCTTATCAGGTTGAAGCTAACAACTACAAACATCACAAAGATATTGAGGCTGGTATCAGAACAGGAAAGTTGAAAGATTGGTGGACCATCACAGTAAAAATGATCAATGACATTAGGACCACAGAATGATAAACGAGTCATACAGCCTGTGTGTATCATAGCATTCAGTGATCCGGCAATGTATGAACCAGCCACCAGACAAATACAAACCTTCTGAGACATGGTAATTGTGTAGATGAGCGGGTTGCAGATGGCCATGTACCGATCATATGCCATAGCAGCCAGGAGGAAACACTCAGTGGTGGCAAAAGTTGCATAGAAATAGAATTGAACTAGACATTCAGTAAAAGAAATCACTTTCCTTTCCCTTAAGAGGTCTATCAGCAGCCTTGGACTGATGGTGGTTGAGTAGCAAATGTCCAAGAAAGACAAATTACTAAGGAAGAAATACATGGGGGTGTGAAGTCGAGCATCAACCCTGATTAGCATAAGAATCCCAAGATTCCCTACAATAGTGATGAGATAGTTCACTAGAAACCATACGAACAAGGGGGCAGCCAATTCTGGACGGTCAGTGAATCCCAAGAGCACAAACTCCTTCACTCTACTGCTGTTCCTGTCAGGCATCTTTTCTCTCCCTGATGGAATCAAAGAGAAACAAGATGGAGATGGGTGAGGGATAGGTAGGTTCTTAATAGTTTGCCAAAAGAAACCATAGAAATTTGGTAATCCGTCTTCACAGCTATGTTTTAAAAAACAATAGATTTTAACCTCTTGAATATGGCAGGTCAGTGAGGTTTAAAAGATTTTTAAGAGGATGGTGTTGAATGTTCATCTCTTCAGCTTCAGAATTCAAAGCAGTGTCACTTGCCATCATATTGTGATAAATAGCCTTCTGCAACATAAAAGGGGGGTTCATGTAGTGGGAGCAGAGTGGGATTGGACCCCCATTCAGACCACACAAGAAGATTCCCCAGAAACACTTGCATCCATGACCTACTTGTTTGTATTCATCACTTGGTGATTATCAACAATAAACTACACTTGTCTGCAAGGTGTGTTCACCATAGGTGCATTAAAGTGGGTTCTGCTTGACATATAGTGATAGTATGACTAGGGATGTTATGATATACAAAAGAATAGGGGGGAAACACCTGGACAACCTATGCTCATATATTACACTAATTTTTTTTAGTTCAATTTTGAAAATATTTTAATTCAGGCATTACCACACATATACATTCACAAACAATAAAAAAAATTTCCTGACTCTTACTGAAATATGATAACCTGACCTGCAGTTCTGAGCAGAACATCTTCTTAAAATGTATATATGTGTTGTACTTAGTTGCATTTATTTAAAAAATATTACTAGTCATTAGGTTTAAAGTGTCCATACAGGAAATATTATGACAATTTATTGCTATTCATAATTGAAGGTTAAGTGTGGGCATCCTCTTCTTTTTCAAGCACACCTACATGACAGGGCAATCCCATCATATATGGTAGAAACTGCTCCACCAGTTGCAATTTCTCTTTTGATTGGTTTTAACAGGGGAGAAATGGAAAATTATTCTGAGCATCATCTCTCTAATGTGAGGTGAAATTTCAACTTCTATTTAATGTACTGTAGGTATGAGTATGTTGCACATATTGTGACCTTTGGGCTATTCTGTTCTGTGATAACTCCTAGGCTGAGAATTCTCAAATTAGCCCATATTTAAAGCCCTGTATCAGCCTCACAGTCCTGGGACCTGAGAACCTTCAGAGCTTAGGGTAGCTGCTCCTTGCTATCTTCTCCATCTTCCTGTTAGACCAAACAAGCCCTGATGATAGTGTTAGAAGGTAGATAACCCATCCCACCACCAGCAGTTCCTTTCTCTTCCCCCAAGAAATGAACTCTGCCTTCTTCCAGTCACTCCTTTGCCATGACTTTCTTTGGGCTCATAAGCCATGAGGAGGAATCTGAAGTCTTGGAGACTCTTATCAACCCCAGGCCCTCCTTACCTACCGCATCCGCTCCTGACTGATTAAGGGTCAGGCTACTTGTGACCATGTGGCCAGTCTAGCACATTCTACTCCACAATCAAGAAGTTACCTGGAATATCATTCTGTTCTTTACTTGTGCCCTCCCGTCAGTGTGTCCTCTGAGGCATCTGCTCTTTCTTAGGTTCAAGAGTGGAATCTGTATTTATTCAAGGTCCTCTACAATGCATCTTACACAGTTTGATAAGCAAACATACCATTAGTTTGAATAGCTACAGACATAGTGAAAGATCTGCAGTTGCTTCATCAATGGAATTAGTTCAGCATGTACAGCATGACATAGTGCATAGAGCTCTACATTATCCAATAAGAAATGGTCTCTTGCTTACTTCTGGTGCCTTATATTTCTGATAATTCTCTGCTAACATCTCCAGAGACTGGCAGAAGACTATAAACAATTGTTGATTAATTACTTTGCAGTAACTGCAAAGCTTTCTATGAAAAGGGTTCCTTTTGCTCAAAACAACAGTAGCAGCCTTGTCCCAGAGGATCCTTGTCTCAGAGGAGTCCATGCACTGCAGAGGATTTTGATGCATTACTGTATTTTAATATTGTGTTGGAAGCCGCCCAGAGTGGCTGGGGAAACCCAGCCAGATGGGCGGGGTATAAATAATAAATTGTTGTTGTTGTTGTTGTTGTTGTTGTTGTTGTTGTTGTTTTGAGGGAAACAACTGCTCACAATTCTTATCTACATGGATCCATCCATCCACCTTTCTATTTAGGTGGCTTTACTGTCTGATTGAAAATGTGTTCGTTTAGTAGAATAAGCTGGAATGCAAATTGTGCTTGCCACCTCTTCTGGATGCCACTGTAAAGGCAGTGGCATAGCGTGGGTTGTCAGCACCCGGGGCAAGGCAAGTAATTTGTGCCCCCTAACCCTAATCCCCAGATGTTGCGCCCAGTGTGGCCGGCCCCCCCTGCACCCCCCACGCTACGCCACTGTGTAAAGGAGAGGGATGAAAGATTACCCTCTAGCCTACAGCATTTCACAGACTGTGTCCCACAGCTTCCAGCCTATAAAGTGTGGGATCACTAGCCCATATAACCAACATGCTTAATGCATGAATGGGGATAAAACCATAGAGTATGCTGTCTGCAAGACTTAGCTGACATTGGGAAGGACTAGGTATTCAAGCCTTTATTTCCCTCCAGTCTACCTCAGAAGCTCGACATGTGAAGTGACTCAGTTGGTTGCTACAGCTTAGCCTCCATAGCTCTAACAAGTCTCTCTTGAGTTCCTATACCATTAATTTAGAAACGTTCATCACTGTAACTAAGCCAAATTTTACTGCCTGCACAACTTTTTCTGAGTACTGTATGAAAAAGCACATGAATCTGACCTTTGGGAAGATTGTAAGTAAACCATTTTTAACTTACAAAACATGTGGTCTTCTTCTATGCTAGGGAAAGATGTACATTTTGGAACTCACGGGGGCATATTTTAAAGGTCTAACAGACTATATTTCCATTCTTTACTTTGCTGTGTGTTTTGTTTTAATTCTCTGCTAGGGTTCTCTCACCAAAGCATACCTGCCCCCAACCTTGATATTGGTATCTTTCCTTGAAGCAACATAAAGAAGTTGTGGAATTCTTTAGAACAGTCCCAAAATAACCCAGGGAATATGAACCCTGCCAGTAGCACTCCTATCACACCTGTGGTCCCCTAATACTGAGCCAGGAGAAACACAGGCTGCTTCTGAACATCCTTGAGATTCACAGAGACTATAGTCAAGCAGTCCACTCACTGTCTTTTGAGCCCCAGGCTCACAGGTTACTCAGCAATGTATGATCTAGCAGCTAAATGCCAGCTATGCAGCCAAAGCTTATTGCAAGAAGCCGTATCAGGATAAATGCAAATACTTTATTTTTTTATTTTTTGTAATAATTTTAATTAAATTTTCTGTTTTACAATTTCAAATAAACATTTTACAAACTTTAGAATATCCAATGACTTCCGTTCTTCTCTTTCCATGGTTCATTTTACATATCATACATCTCTGCATATTTTACTATAACAATTCAAATCAATTTTCCACTTTTACATACATCAAAAATTATTTACTCTGTTGAATTTATCTTAATGCTGCCAGCATTTTCAGTTGTATACAGTTTTTTCCAATCTTCTTTAAAAATATGTTCTTCTTGCTCTCTTATTCTATATGTTAAAGGTAAAGGGTAAAATCTGCAAGTTAAATCTGCAAGTTGTGCATATTCTGTCAACTTCAGTTGCCAATCCTCTTTAGTTGCAACCTCGCTCAGTTTCCATTTTGAGGCTAACAAAACACGGACCGCAGTTGTTGCATAGATAAATAACCTTTTCTGACACCTGGGAATTTCAGTCTGAGTTATCCCCAACAAAAAGGACCTGCTTTTTTAAAAAAAAGTAATTTTGAACATTTTTTTTCCAATTCATTATAAATCATTCCCAATACTCTTTTACCTTTTTACATGTCCACCACACGTGGAAGAACGTTCCCTCCACTTCATTGTACTTCCAAAACAACTTGATTCTGTTTTATAAATCTTATCCAACCTACTCAGACTTAAGTACCATCTATGAATCATTTTCAAATAGTTCTCTTTCAATTAACAGCATGCTGTAAATTTCAGGTCGCTTTTCCAGAGTTTCTCCCAAAGATTAAGATCTATATTGTGTGCTATATCTATTGCCCAGTGTGTCATTGAAGTTTTAAGAAGCTCATCTTTTGTTTCCCATTCTAATAGAAGATTATACATATTAGACAAAGGTTTATCCCTATTTTGCAATAGTTCTTTTTAAAAAGGTGAGCTTTAATCCAAAAATCCATTCTTTCTATCTAATTTAAACATAATGTTTAACCGATGATATTGCAATCAATCCACAAATTGGCTCCTTAGGTTTTCCATTGGTTTCAGTTTGGGTCCGTCATCCCCCTGCCCCCGCCCCCGGCACCTGTTGAATCTATGAGTTCCCAGTAAGTCGCTTACTGTCTATCCATATTAACTCTCTTAATTATAATTGCCTTGATGGGAGATAGCATATTCCGGCCGAAAGTGGCTCCCCATCCCTGTCTTAAGTTACAGATGTTGTAAGGAGAGCAAAAGTCCTGGAAGCAGGTGGCAGAATCTATTTTATAAAAAAGCTTTTGTAAAATGTAAGATTTCTTCCCAGGACTTTTTGGAAGGCACTCCTGACTTCCTGGTTCCTCAGACTGTAGATCAAAGGGTTCAGCATGGGAGTCATCACTACATAGAACACAGAGGCTATTTTGTCAAGGTGGTGGGTTTGCCTAGAACTAGGTCTTATATACATGAGGCCACCAAATCCATAAAAAATGGTGACAACCATGAGGTGAGATGTGCAGGTGGAAAAGGCTTTCTTTCGGCTCCTAGCACAGTGGGTCTTTAAAACAGTGACCAGAACATAAGTGTAAGAAAAGAGAATAGTTGAAGTGGTTGCTATAATATTGAACCCAACAAAGACGAACATCAAAATTTCATTGAGAATAATGTCTGAGCAGGACAGCTGCAGTATGGGAGGAATTTCACAGTAAAAATTCTGAATGATGTTTGGACCACAAAAGGATAGTCTTGATGCAGCAACGGTGTGCACCAAAGCATTTATTGTTCCAGCTGCATAGGAAAGAGCAACTAACTCAATGCACTTTCTTTGGGACATGGTGATTAAGTAGAGCAGTGGGTTGCAGATAGCCACATAGCGGTCATAGGCCATCACTGCCAGCAGGTAACACTCAGTGGTGGCAAATACAGCATAAAAGAAAAGCTGAGTAAAACAACCGGCAAAAGAAATTACTTTCTTCTCCTTTAAGAGATTGCTTAGGAACTTTGGGGTAACGGATGAGGAGTAACAGATGTCCAAGATAGACAGGTTGCCAAGTAAGAAGTACATGGGGGTATGCAGTTGTGGGCTGGACCTGATTAAGAGAATCATGCCCAAATTCCCCACCAGGGTGGTGGCATAGACAGTACAGAAGATCACAAAGAGGGCAATTTCCCCCTGAGGAAGATCTGTTAGCCCTGTGAGTATGAAGCTGTCCACCAACGTGATGTTTACCGTTTGCATCATGGTGACGCTGTGGAGAGGGGAAGAACACAGAAGTCAGCATTGCTTGTTCTTTTAGACTCCCAGGGACTAAAAGACTGACACAAGCAGAGTGGGGAAGGTGCCTCTGCTGGTGCTTTCTTGGAAAAGCAAAAGATATGAGAACAATGTTTTGAATGGGTTATGGTTTTCAGCAAAGTAAACTGAAGTGAAAAATAACTGAAGATAATTTTCAACAAGGTTTTTATAAGCAGATAGGAGTGTTATACAATGCACAGTGATATACAATGAAGGACCCAATGTCTATATCATAGGTGTCTCAGAGCGTATCAGTGGCTACCAGAATGGAGGCGAAGCAGAGCAGCCAACCTCCCCGAAGGAGACAAAGCGTGTTCTCCCTAACAGAGAGCACGTGTTGCGGTTGGGAACAGGCCTCCCTCCAGTGACTAGGCAAATTTAGTTGGAACCCAACCATTTAAATGGTTAAACTGGGTTGCTGGGGTGTTTGATTGTTGCCAATTCGGAGGAGGGGTCAGAGTCTATATGTAGAGGGGCCAGACGTTGGCACGGCCTCTTGGCCGTTTTGCATCGGATCACATGGAGTGCTTGGACAATCTTCTCATTGTCTGGTTACATTTCTTATTTCTTTATTTCCCCTTTCTTTTTAATCCTCTCTAGTCCCTTAAATAATTTAATTTCCCCCTTTTCCTGTTCAATTTCCCACCCCACCCCTTACCCTGCCCAGTGGGAAGATTCTCCCTGTATCTGTGGCTTGCCTTTCCCAATAGGGAGAGAGCCCCCGTTAGGGGCTTTCTTTCGCAAAAAGGTTTTCCCCATTTCTCTTGTTGAAATTGTGCTAGTCAGGGCTGTTCCCAGCTTAGCTGGAATCATTTTCGTTTATAGTATCCCCAAAGGTTGGCTTATTTTGAGTGTGTGCAGCGCTGTTGGCCAAATTTTAAGCTAGCCTTGGGTGGGAGCACTAATTGGAGTTCTTTTAATATTGCTATGACATTCTCGCTATAGGAATGTATCTGCTTGCAGGCCCAGTTGCTGCTAATGTTTATCTGAGGCAGACAGAGGGCCCCAGAGGCTCCCTGTGCCTCCAAGGACTATGAGCACTCTGTATATGCTCTTGAACTATGCTGTTTCTGAACAAGTTTATTTTCTTTTAAGTTTGTTTTGCCCTGATAGTGGCGACTGCCATTTTAGAGATGAGCCATTGTGGCTTAGTGGCTAAAGTGTAGGACTAGGACCTGGGAGACAGGGTTCATATCCCCCTCTTAGCCATTGTTATAACAAAACAAAATAAACTGCTCCTTTTGGGCTATTCTGTTGCTGGGTAGTTCGGCCCATTTGTGATAAAAGAACTTTGGGTTTCTTGAAGGGGTGCTTCCCTCTAAAAGGGCAAGCAGGGGTACCTGGACAAGCTGTGGGCTAGCTCAACTCTGCTATTTCACTGAAAACATTTATGCCTGGCCTAGCAGGTGATCATAGGGCTTTGCCCTAGAATTCGATGGCCTGGAAGCGTTTCCGGCCTGAATAGTGTCCCCATGTGGTCCATGAAGCATTGGTTTCACTGGGTCAGTGCATAGTGCCGGTAATGTTTAGGTTGCAGGATTGGTCCCTGTATGGGACAGCTGCATGCTCCCCCATTGCTCTACCTGGACACTTAGGTCCCTTTTGGTGGTTACCGCAAGTGGGAGAAAGCACCTTTGCGTGCCCGCATTGCAGTTTGCTCTGTGCGTTGCAGAGCATGGCGCTGCACGGGCTGCAATTGCATTGCATTGCGTGAGAGATTTGCAGTTGCATTGCACGGAGGGTGTGTGTATTGCATGGAGGGTGTGTGTGCATTGCACGGAATGTGTAGTTGTATTGCACGGAGTGTGTTGTTGCATTGCACAAAGTGTGTTGTTGCATTGTACGTAGTGGCTTGTTGCATTGCACGGAGTGTGTGTGTGTGTGTGTGCATTGCACAGAGTATGTAGTTGCATTGCACGAAGGGTGTGTGCATTGCATGGAGGGTGTAGTTGCATTGCACAGAGTGTGTTTTTGCATTGCACAGAGTGTGTGTGCATTGCACAGAGTGTGTGTGCATTGCACAGAGTGTGTAGTTGCATTGCATGGAGTGTAGTTGCATTGCATGGAGTGTAGTTGCATTGCATGGAGGGTGTGTGCATTCCAGGGAGTGTGTTTTGCATTGCACGGAGTGTGTAGTTGCATTGCAGGGAGAGTGTGTGCACTGCACGGAGTGTGTTTTTTGCATTGCACAGAGTGTGTGTCTGAAAAGGAAGCTGGCTCGGCGGCAGCTTTGTCGGGACTTCTTTAGGGGTTCTGGCCAGCGTCGGCCCTGTAAGTTTACTTATCATGATGGCAGCACAAGATGCCCCCTGCCCAAGCGGGGGCTGGAAGCTGGCAAGCAATAGCTCAATACCTTTTGCCCATATTCCCATTTTATTTAGGGATCCAGTTGGATATTGTTGCTAAAACATACCACTTGCCTATGGAGAAGCTGTCTGCCTTGAAGGAAGTTATTTTGTAATACTTCCTCTGTAGCAAGTGATGCTTCATCAGATCCGATCTTGCTGGGTCACTTAATTAATCTTCCCACTAGGCCAGGCTGCCTGCGGCCTGAGGTCCCCTTACCTTTGTGTATGCCTACCAAGTGTGGTGAAGGCAGATATTAGGCGATGGTAGCAATTCCTGAATGTATGCAATAGTAGTTCGCCATGGCAGGATACCTTGAACCCGCACAGGGATTTTCAGGTTCATGCTGGTGCTGCTGGATCTTTGCCCTTTGGTTTTTATTTCAAGGGCTGCTGGTGTGCAAAGCTATGGCCTCAAGCCTGGTGTGGTGAGGCAATCATGTGACATAACTTTTCTTGAGTTTTCCCCATTGTAGCAGTTCACATGTGGCCCGAAGAGTTCAGTGACCATCGGATCTGCTTTTGGTCTGATAACCAGGTAGTGGTGAGCATCTTGGCAAAACAGTCCTCACGCTCTAGCACAGTCTCCGCCCCTCCGCTCATGCTTTCGAGCTGCGCCACTTAAGGTTTAATATTGTGCTTTCTACTCTCCAAATTACGGGATCCTCTAATATTGTCGCTGACACTCTGTCCGATTTTCAGATGAAGCGCTTCAGATCCTGGGCTCCAGACTCAGCTATTGCCAGACTTTTCCAGACCACCTGTGGCATTTTGACAACAACATTTTGACCTGGACCTGTTTTAATTCTCTTCCTACCTTTAACCTAATGTACCAAGCCTATTTTGGGCCATTATATGCTTTATACACACCCGCATTTTAGATTCTCGGCGCTGGCAACTAAATCTTTACATTATTGTCTTAGGGTATTTAAATGTCATAACGCCAGTAATATCGCTTTGAATTTTGATTGGTTGCTTGTCTCTAGCATTTTTTGTCTTATCCTTGCTATGGCTGTATGCTAATGCAATAAAGGTTGATTGATTGATTGATTGATTGATTGACAACAATTAGTGATTACAGAGAGCAGCAGCTTCCATTTCCCCTTCTGCTTTTACCCCTTATGGGAAGGCCTGGATGGATTTCTTAGCCTTAAGCTGGCAGTTCTCGGCCATTCAGATGAATTAGCCCCCATCCTCTGAGCAGATCCAGCAGTATTTGGTCCACCTGCTGCAGATTGGGCATGCGGTTATAACTATCAGAATTCAGTCCGCTGCAATGTCTGTTACACTGAAGCTTTATTTTTCAGAGACCCCTGTATAAAGTTTGTAGGGCGCAGGGCCTTGGAAGGTTGGAATAGGCTCCAACCTCATAGGACAGTGGGCAGGAAGTCAGTCAATTTTTACCTATGCAGTATCTGCAACAAGTTAAAACTTGTCTGCTGGTTAAAGATCAAGGCGAGACTCCTTTCAGGAGTCCATTGCATTTTGCATTGAGGGTTGGGAAAATGGTTGTTTGAGCCAGCACGGGGCTGAGAGTCTGGAGGCTTATTGCTTCAGGACTTTTCCTTATCCTTTGGAGCTTGTCATTAGAGTTGGGAACTCTAAAACAGACCTAGTGGGCAGGAGTGCCACAGTCAGGCTTCCCGCCACAGGTGAGGAGGGCCCTTGCCCAGTTATGGATAACAGAATATTTGGCTTTTTATTCCCTGGGGGTTGGCCCGCTCCTAGTGCATGAAAATGGGTTCCCGTTAGCCAGGCATCAACATGCTTACGTCGTGCACCAGTTATTACGGCCTGCGGCTTGCTTACCGCTGAACGCCTCATTCCTTACGATTAGGTGCTGCTGCAAAGGCTGCACACTGGGGGCCTGTCAGTAGACAGGATTGTGAATACGGGTCATTGGAAGTCTGACGCTGACAAGGGTTATATCAGGAAGTGTCACAATGATGTCTGTGCTGATGCTTGTCTGTTATTTCCTTTTTTCATAGGAGCAGCTGTGCACATTTGGGCCACAGCATTGTACACTGGGCTGGCAAGCGCTCTGACGAGTCTGGACTGGGGCGCCATCTCAGTCTTCCTGCCCATGTGAACCTATACTGGATGTCTAGATGGGGAGTGCTTTGGGAGGAGATCCTTCCTTTGGTGCGGTTCCTTTGGTGCAGGTCCTCCCGCAGTGCTGGTGGTACAGCTGGGCGAGAATGTTTGCTGTCTTCCTCCAGCATAAGTTTGCATTCCTGCATGCAAGAGGGCTTGGATTGAGTTGATGGCAGCTCTCCCTGGACTCAAAATAATTCAAGGCATTGGTTCAAGGTGGTCTGGAGGGGGGGTTGGAGCACCTGTCCCCTCCATTGTGCAAAGATATTCCATTAAGGGAATCCAAGGATTTGCCATGCTTTTGTCGACCCCTTTCAAGGGGTAGGGCCACGCAAGAGTCCCCTGGAGCATGTGGGGGTGAGCTTGAGTCTGATCCTGGTTCATTGCTCCCCCACGCTGTTTATTTGTATTGACGATATGGTGGGGCCCAGTCGTCAGTGCTGCCCTGCTGAGGTCAGGTGCAGCTAGTCGGGAACCAATGCCTAGACAAACTACCACCAAGCAGGCCAGAAAGCATGTTAATAAGGCGGTGGACAATAGAATAAAATAAATAAAGTAAATAAATAACAAATAAAATAGGTCGTTGCTTTACGTGGTTCTGTAATATTGCACCCTGCTATTTTTCTTCAAGGCTGTTCCCCTCTTTAGGGCAGATGGGGTGCATCTTTCCCCTATGGGGAACGACACCTGGCGGGATGCAATTGCCTTGGGATGCATTGCTCCCCCACAATGTTTGCTGGTACTGACGATATGGTGGGGCCCAGTCGTCAGGGCTGCCCTGCTGAGGTCAGGTGCAGCTAGTTGGGAACCAATGCCTGGACAAACTACCACCGAGAAGGCCGGAAAGCGTGTTAATAAGGCAGTGGAAATAAAATACAGGTCACTGGAAATCAAATGCATTCAAAGGTTATGTTCGTTAACATTATTGGTGTCTGACAATTTTTGCTTGTTTTATCTTACACAGCATCATCCACTGGGCTGGTGTCGCAGCACGGCAGTAGGGAATGGGTCCAGGTCTCGGCCTTCCTCCGCATATTCAGTTGTCTTGGCTGTCCAGACGGGGAATGTGCTGGTCGGAGCTCCTGCCTCGGATTCAGAGGCAGTTGCTATGGGAAGGACCCCCATCGGCCATTGTGGTGCAGCTGGGTGAGAACGACCTGGTTTCTATGGACTGTTTTTCCCTGCGCGCTGCAATTTTGTCGGACTTGGAGGCGCTGCGGGCAATGGTGCCAACAGCTAAAATATTTTGGTCAAGGCTGCTACAACGGCGCGCTTGGAGGGGCAGTCGTTGCCCAGCCGCCATTGAGAGAGCCAGGAGCCGCATCAACTCCGCAGTGGCGAGAAAGGTCTTGGAGTTGGGCGGAGATGTGATTTTTCATCCTGAGATTTCTTCTCAGAAGCCATCCTTATTCCGAGATGATGGCGTGCACCTTTCGGCTTCGGGTAATGAGGCTTGGTTTATCGCTACGTGCTGCAATTATGGCTGACCTGGAGACGCTGCAGGCAATGGTGCCCACAGCAAAGATATTTTTGTCTAAGCTTTTGCAACGACGTTTTTGGTTGGGAAGTCATTGCCCGGTGGCCACGGAAAGGGCCAGGAAGCGCATCAATGCTGCTGTTTCCAGAAGGATTGTGGAGCTGGGTGGAGAGGTGATTTTTCACCATGAAATCTCCTATCATGCGGCAGCTCTCTTTAGAGCTGATGGTGTGCACCTTTCTGCTTCTGGGAATGAGGCTTGGCTAGGTGCGGTGGTGGCCAAGCTGAGGTCTTGGCTGGGGCTGTGAGTGGTTTGGCGGTGAGCTGAGGGCTCCATGGCGGTTAGGCATTGGTTAAATTGGTGCTTGGAGGGGTAAGTGCCTACCCCTCCAAATGATGCGAAAGGGAATTCCGTTAAAGGAAATCCAGGGGCTTGCCATTCTTTCGTCCTTGTCCCCGGAGTCGGACTTGGGCCGTGCAAGCCCCACAGGAACATGAGGGTGAGAAGTGATGGTCTGATGCCCCGCCTCATTTCTCACCCAATACTTGTTTCCCACGCTGGCTTCCGCTGGTGTCCGGAAGGCCAGCTCTGTCCCTGAGGGCAAGGACAGATAGTCATAACCAATGCCTAAGCAACCACTCACATTTTTGTATTTAAATAAAGTTGTGGCCAAAATTATGCCAAAAACCTTAAACAAAAATTGATGTGTGAAGTGTGAATTATTGGGGGGCTACTGTGACTCAACACGCAAAGCGTGTTCTCCCTAACAGAGAGCACGTGTTGCGGTTGGGAACAGGCCTCCCTCCAGTGACTAGGCAAATTTAGTTGGAACCCAACCATTTAAATGGTTAAACTGGGTTGCTGGGGTGTTTGATTGTTGCCAATTCGGAGGAGGGGTCAGAGTCTATATGTAGAGGGGCCAGACGTTGGCACGGCCTCTTGGCCATTTTGCATCGGATCACCCGCCCTCCCTCCCTTTTTTCTTTTAAGGGGGGTATTGTAGGATTGCTTGACCTTGCTATGCCTGTCATGGGGTCGTTCGCCTTGGTGCGGGGGCCTGGTAGGAATTTTGCCATCTGGCTGATTGGCTGGTGCCATTTGGTTTTTGCCTACTGCGTAGCAAATCGTCACAACTTGTAAGGTTGGCGGTTAGGCATTGGTTAAATTGGTGCTTGGAGGGGTAAGTGCCTACCCCTCCAAATGATGCGAAAGGGAATTCCGTTAAAGGAAATCCAGGGGCTTGCCATTCTTTCGTCCTTGTCCCCGGAGTCGGACTTGGGCCGTGCAAGCCCCACAGGAACATGAGGGTGAGAAGTGATGGTCTGATGCCCCGCCTCATTTCTCACCCAATACTTGTTTCCCACGCTGGCTTCCGCTGGTGTCCGGAAGGCCAGCTCTGTCCCTGAGGGCAAGGACAGATAGTCATAACCAATGCCTAAGCAACCACTCACATTTTTGTATTTAAATAAAGTTGTGGCCAAAATTATGCCAAAAACCTTAAACAAAAATTGATGTGTGAAGTGTGAATTATTGGGGGGCTACTGTGACTCAACACGCAAGTACCCAAGCATAATCTACACAAAGTCTTAAAGAAGAAACTCCAGGATTATGACACCTGTATTCTGCTGACTCTGACCATGTAATATAGAGCCCTCATAACCACATGCCTCCAAATATTGTTGGGCTACAGCTACAATTAGTTTCAGCCATGGTGTTTTTTATCAGGGATGATGGGAGCTGTAGTCTAAGACAGTGGATGAGCAGCAACTTGGGGGAAACTGCCCTATAATTGTCTTTTGTTGAGAATTAATTCCTGGTGCTTTTGTACACCATCATGCATGTTGTATCTGCAGAGGGTACATCAATTAATGCTTCTCTGAGGATCCAAATGGTTCACCCTTTCTTATTTCCCAAAAAAAAACCACACAAAAAAATTGTTGCTAGTGAAATATTACACATGGCTAAGGCATATTCCAGCACTACTAATATGCAGTGGCAGCAAAACAGTTGTGCTAGTGTCACAATGGCCTCTCCCATGACTGAAAAAAATACGTCTGAACTTACTGTCTTCCTCAAAGTTCAGTTTTGTCATCAATAGCTTGAAGCTTTCTGACTCTTTCAAGCTGAGTCTTCGGTGCCGGTGAACCTCTGACTTGTGAAACCAATAGCAAAATGCTTCTAGTGATGTGAAGAAAGCCATATCTATTTGTGTTCTACATGACTCTAGGGCTTTTTATTGTCACAGCAAACCATGATGTTGCCTTTGCTTTCTTTGGGATCATTGGGGAAATCTTAATGCTCCCTGAAGTACCTCACATCCCAAGAATATAAAAGAAAATATCTAAAATTGACCTCATAGTCATGTAGTGAAGCTGATTGCAGCCAAATTAAAATCTCTCATACATTCTGAAAGACCGCTTGAGAAATTGTACATTTTGATATATAAGGTTATAATAACTCATATAGCACTAGTCCCTCACCCAATCTAATTCTCAAAGGTGGGGGGGGGAGTCTGTGTAAGAATTATCGGAATGCCTCCTTCCTTTCATCCTGGGCAAGGTCACTCCAGCTGGCCTCCATCTCCCAAAGTAGGGGATGAGAGACAAAATTATCCATCCCCTGCTATAGGAAGGGTGGTGGGAATACCCATCCTTTGAACTCCAACCACTACGGCAGAATGCACAGCCCAAAACCAAGGAGTAACAAAAGAGCCCACTAAGCTATTCAGCAAGGGAACCTGGTTGGAAACAGCCCTTCACCCAAGGATACTTCAGGGTGTTTTCCATTGTGATTGCTAAAATCCACCTGACTTCCCATGGTAGGTGCCAAACTGAATAGCCTGAGAAATCCAGCTAGAATCAATTTCAAATCAAGGCAGGTTTCAGTAGGCAAAAAGAAAAAGTCTCCAAGGACCAGTTGATAGCACCAGAAACCTCACTACTACCCTCTGTGACATGAGAAATTCATTCACATCCTAGGGGTGGGAACACCATTATCTGATTATAATGCACAGAAAGGCCATTTGGGTGAGATTTCTAAATGACAGGATTCACTGAGATTGTATTTATATCTTAGAAGTTGAAATTATCGGAATTCATATATATGGTTCTAATAAATAAAGTGTGATATATATTTATTTCATTTTAAAGTTCACATTCCACCTTAAATTTCACAAATAGTACCTCAATCTTGCAATGTAAAATATGAAACACCAAACAAGGCACATATAACAATCAATCGTCATCGTCGTCGTCCCATAGCTGCAGCATTGTAAGATCATCCTGAGGCAGCACAGGCCTACCTCAAAACAATCCGGGGGTGTAAGATGGTGACGATGAGGAACAGGAGGAGCTATCACAGGTTGCCTATATGTGTCTCCTTCTACCTTGACTGCATGTTTAATTGCTGCTTAAAACCCTGTGGTTGGGAACAGGGCAGAGGGACTGAGCTCACATGGGGACAATCTGACTTCTCAACAGATCTTTGGGGGCTATTATGAAAACACAATAAAGTAGTCCTTGCACACCACTTAGATTTACACAGCAGGAGGTTTAGCAAGCCCTACAGTTTCTTGGCTGTTCTGTTCCTCAAAGAAGATGCCCCTTGAGTCTTGTAGGTTTCACTGAGCAGATGCTAAACTCTGCTCTTGGTTCTTTCAGATGAGGTGGTTATGGAACATGTTATATTGGAATGTAGTCCTGGAAATATCTGTTCATGGCCTTGCTTCTGACTCACTGTGATGTGCTTCCACCGTGACCTCCCCTCACATGTTAGTGTTCCAGTCAAACATCAGCCAGCTACACAGCGGCAATCACACAGCAGTCCATAAACAAAGTTTTATCTAAATACGAATCATTGACATCTTTAGGAAATACACGTCTCAAAGCAATCTTCACTTCCTTATTCCTCAAGCTGTAGATGAGAAAGTTTAGCATGGGGATTACCACAGCATACATCAGAGAGGCCACTTTGTTTCCCTTTGTTGATGTATTAAGTTGGAGATACATAAGGTTCGAGCTGCCATAAAGGATGATGACAGCCAGCAGGTGAGAGGAGCAGGTGGAGAAGGCTTTCTGCCTTTCCTCTCAGCTGAGCGGATTCTCAAAATAGTGATAATGGGAGAAGCATAAGAGGTAAGGGCTGTCAAATGGGTGCTTATCGGGTTTAAGCGAACAAATGCAAACCCAACACACTTATTGACACTTTTACAGGAACAGGAAAGTTGTAAGAGTGGCGTACCTTCCAAGTTAAAATGACCAATAACATTAGGGCCACAGAAAGATAAATGAGTCAAACAACCTGGCCCAAAGTTCTTGCCCGTCCCTTTCTTAAATTACAACATGTAGAGATGTTGTAAGGAAAGCAAAAGTCCTGGAAGTAGGGGCCACCATCTATTTTATAAAAAACCTTTGGTAAAACACAATTTTCCTTCCCAACGTTTTTCGGAAGGCACTTCTGACCTCTTGGTTCCTCAGACTGTAGATCAAAGGGTTCAGCATGGGAGTCACCACTACATAGAACACAGAGGCTATTTTGTCAAGGTGGTGGTTCTGCCTAGAACTGGGTCTTCCATACATGAGGCTACCAAATCCATAAAAAATGGTGACAACCATGAGGTGAGATGTGCAGGTGGAAAAGGCTTTTCTTCGGCTCCTAGCACAGTGGGTCTTTAAAATAGTGACCAGAACATAAGTGTAAGAGGAGAGAATAGTCGAAGTGGTTGCTATAATATTGAACCCAACAAAGATGAACATCAAAATTTCATTGAGACTAATGTCTGAGCAGGACAGCTGCAGAATGGGAGGAACTTCACAGTAAAAATTATGAATGATGTTTGGACCACAAAAGGATAGCCTTGATGCAGCAATAGTGTGCACCAAAGCATTTACTGTCCCTGCCACATAGGAAAGAGCAACTAGCTCAATGCACTTTCTTTGGGACATGGTGATTAAGTAGAGCAGTGGGTTGCAGATAGCCACGTAGCGGTCATAGGCCATCACTGCCAGCAGGTAACACTCTGTGGTGGCAAATGCACCATAAAAGAAAAGCTGAGTAAAACAATCAGCAAAAGAAATTACTTTCTTCTCCTTTAAGAGATTGCTTAGGAACTTTGGGGTGACGGATGAGGAGTAACAGATGTCCAAGAAAGACAGGTTGCCAAGTAAGAAGTACATGGGGGTTTGCAATTGTGGGCTGGACCTGATTATGAGAACCATGCCCAAATTCCCCACCAGAGTGGTGGCATAGACAGCACAGAAGATCACAAAGAGGGCAATTTCCACCTGAGGAAGGTCTGTTAGCCCTGTGAGTATGAAGCTGTCCACCAGTGTGATGTTTACCGTTTGCATCATGGTGACGCTGTGGAGAGGGGAAGAACACAGAAGTCAGCATTGCTTGTTCTTTTAGACTCCCAGGGGCTAAAAGACTGACACAAGCATAGTGTGGAAGGTGCCTCTGTTAATGCTTTACAGTGGTACCTCAGGTTACATACGCTTCAGGTTACATATGCTTCAGGTTACAGACTCCGCTGACCCAGAAATAGTACCTCGGGTTAAGAACTTTGCTTCAGGATGAGAACGAAATCGTGCTCCGGCGGTGCAGAAGCAGGAGGAGGCCCCATTAGCTAAAGTGGTGCTTCAGGTTAAGAACAGTTTCAGGTTAAGAACCGACCTCCGGAACCAATTAATTACTAAACCCGATGTACTACTGTATTGGAAAAGCAAATGAAATGAGAGGATCCCTTAGAAGAATATTATGTTCTGGTAGATGCTCTCCATGCAATGAAAAATGTTCAGTGTGCTGCTACAGCTTCATCAAACCTCTGTCAATTCCTAAATATCTCATTGATATTGAACAATGTTTTGAATGAGTTATGGTTTTCAGCACAGTAATCTGAAATGAAAAATAACTGAACACTATTTTCAGCAAGGTTTTTATAGGCAAATAGGAGTAGATGGACGTAGGTGGCACTGTGGTCTAAACCACAGAGTCTGGGCTTGCCGATCAGAAGGTCGGCAGTTTGAATCCCCATGACGGCGTGAGCTCCTGTTTTTCTGTCCCAGCTCCAGCCCACCTAGCAGTTTGAAAGCATGTAAAAGTGCAAGTAGATAGGTAAATGGCGTTTCCGTGCACTGCTCTGGTTCGCCAGAAGCAGCTTAGTTATACTGGTCACATGACCTGGAAGCTGTCTGCGGACAAATGCCGGCTCCCTCAGCCTATAGAGCGAGATGAGTGCACAACCCCAGAGTCGTCCATGACTGGACCTTTAGGAGTGTTATATAATGCACAATGATATACAGTGAAGGACCCAAAGTCTATATCATAGGTATCTCAGAGCATATCAGTGGCTGCCAAAATGTAGGCATACCAGAGCAGCCAACATGCCCAAAGGAGACATATACCCAAGCATAATCCATTTCCATGTGAGATACATAGTTCCCCAAACACTGCCAAAATGAAAAGGGTTCTTGACAGGCAGAAAGACAGAGAACTATTGCCTCAATCAACCTTCTCCATATATTGTTGGGCTACAGCTACAATTAGTTTCAAATACTGTGTTCGATTATCAGAGATGATGGGAGCTGTAGTCTAAGACAGTGGGTGGGTAGCAACTTGGGGAAAACTGTCCTATAACTGTCTTTTGTTGAGAATTAATTCCAGGTGCTTTTGTACACCATCATGCATGTTGTATCTGCAGAGGGTACATCAATTAATGCTTCTCTGAGGATCCAAATGGTTCACCCTTTCTTATTTCCCAAAAAAAAAAACCACACCAAAAAAAATTGTTGCTAGTGAAATATTACACATGGCTAAGGCATATTCCAGCAATACTAATATGCAGTGGCAGCAAAACAGCTGTGCTAGTGTCACAATGGCCTTCTCACATGACTGAAAAAATACATCTGAACTTACTGTCTTCCTCAAAGTTCCATTGTGTCTTTAATAGCTTGAAGCTTTCTGACTCTTTCAAGCTGAGTCTTCGGTGCAAGTGAACCATTGACTTGCAAAACCAATAGCAAAATGCTTCTAGTGATGTGAAGAAAGCCAGATCTGTTTGTGTTCTACATGACTCTAGGGCTTTTTATTGTCACAGCAAACCATGATGTTGCCTTTGCTTTCTTTGGGATCATTGGGGAAATCTTAATGCTCCCTGAAGTACCTCACATCCCAAGAACATACAAGAAAATATCTAAAATTGACCTCATAGTCATGTAGTGAAGCTGATTGCAGCCAAATTAAAATCTCTCGTACATTCTGAAAGACCGCTTAAGAAGTCGTACATTTGGTATATAAGGTAATAATAACTTATATAGCACTAAGTACCACAGCCAATCAATCTAATTCTCAAAGGGGGTAGAAGGATAGTGACAGCCAGCAGGTGAGAGGAGCAGGTGGAAGAAGCCTTTGTGCCTGCCCTCAGCTGAGCGGATTGTCAAAATAGTGACAATGATAGCAGGCTGTCACTGTCAAAGGACTGTCAGATGGGTGCTTTTCAGGTTAAAGCTAACATATGCAAACATCACAAACTCACTGACACTTGTATCAGAACAGGAAAGCTGAAAGAGTGGAGAACTTTCACAGTAAAAATGATCAGTGACATTAGGACTACAAAACGATAAACGAGTCAAACACCTTTGTGTATCAGGGAACAGAGAGAGCCGGCAATGTATGAACCAGCCACCAGAAAAACACAAACCTTCTGAGACACGGTGACTGTGTAGATGAGTGGATTGCAGATGACCATGTATATGCCACAGCAGCCAGGAGGTAACACTCTTTTGTGGCAAAAGTTGCATAGAAATAGAATTGTCCATAGCTTGTCCAGAAATGTCCATAGCTTGTCCATATATCCCTGTAATTCTCTCACCTGGTGTTTCCTCATGTGAATCGGACCATAGGAGCCTCCACTTAAAGATGCAATAATGGAAAGGGGTTCATCTCTTGTTCTGGGCCTGTTATGCAGCTTTTAAAATGGCACAGAGATTCTGTCCACAAAAACATGTGGTGTGCATATTTAGTTGTGGCCCCAGGCACAGTGCCGCCCACCCCGTATCAGTGTCTATTTGTAATATATGATCAATAACTCAGGCAGACAACAATCTGGATTAATAATGGCCACAACTTTATTGATTACAGAATGTAGGAGGAATTTTGGCTCTGGCATTGGGTGTATCTATTCCAACCTCCTGCTGGAGGACTGGAACAGCTGCAGGGTCGTGCCAGGATTGTAGCCTCCACAAGATGTTGATCTACTGAGTCAGCCATCCTAAGGCCCACTGGAAGCCTATGGCCCATCTGCCACACACTTGGCTTCAGGACAGGGACATCCACCGAGACTCCTTCAACAGGGTACCCTGAAAACACCACTGGTTCGTAGTGGGTGATGCGCCACATCACCCCACGCTTGAAGGCTAGGATTCAACTCAATGCCTTAACCGCCAGACCGTTAAGATGCCTCACCACCAAACCACCTACAACTGTAAGCAATGGAAGATGCCCTAAAACACATCCACTATCCAGCACTCATTCCCTGCAGGAGTTAGGTGGATGCTGTTGGGTCTGTTAGAGTCCAACTTATCACATTTTATATCAGCATGGGAAATGGCACGTCCCCCGCAACACTTGATCAGATGCTGCAATGCCTTGTTGATTTTCGATGACTCATTCTTGTGCATGGATGTTGCTGTCCTGCTTATATAAGGATCAACATTCAGAGAAGGAGTTCATTGTCAGAAAATGTTAGCTGTTCCATGGTGCAACTGGATTCAAGTACACTCTCGGTTTCGGTTCGCAGTTGCTCTGCTAATCTCAGTTCAAGGAAGTCCCCTTTTCCTGTTCTCCACACTCAGAAGCCTTTGATTCATTTATATTTCCAGCTTGGTTACTTCTGGAGATGTTCCAACTGCTGACAACATAGTGTTGGAAAGTCTTGGTGTAATGCTTATTCATTCTTAGATTTCTCCCTCAAGTGTGGCTAGAATATCATATAAAATTCTATATCAGATTTTAGCCAGAGAAACTATTTCATCTGAGGATTTAAAGTTGGCTTTAAATTCTAATGATCTTTTTGCACAGCAGAATAGTTTTATTTGCATAAAGACTAAAACTTATGGACCATATTCTATCAGAGCTGCTTTTACCTGAAGTGTTATCTCTTGTGATCTGGAGAAGGTCTAACTTGTATGGAAGGCATCATCCTAGACTGAAAAGCAGCTTTTCTTCCCAGGATTTTTTGGAAGGCAGTCCTGACTTCCTGGTTCCTCAGACTGTAGATCAAAGGGTTCAGCATGGGAGTTACCACTATATAGAACACAGAGGCTATTTTATCAAGGTGGTGATTCTGCCTAGAACTGGGACGTGTATACATGAAGCTAACAGAGCCATAGAAAATGGTGACTACCATGAGGTGAGATGTGCAGGTGGAAAAGGCTTTTCTTCGGCTCTTAGTGGAATCGACTTTTAAAATAGTGGCCAGGATGTAGGTGTAAGAGGTGAGGACAATCGTAATGGTTATAATTATATTGAACCCAACAAAGACAAAGAGCAAAATTTCATTGATATTGATGTCTGAGCAGGCCAGCTCCAGTATGGGAGGAATTTCACAGTAAAAATTATTAATGATGTTTGCTCCACAAAACGATAGCCTTGATGCAGCAACAGTGTGCACCAAAGCATTTACTGTCCCAGCTGCATAGGAAAGACCTACTAGCTGCATACACTTTCTTTGGGACATGGTGATTAAGTAGAGCAGTGGGTTGCAGATAGCCACATAGCGGTCATAGGCCATCACTGCCAGCAGGTAACCCTCAGTGGTGCCAAATGCAGCATAAAAGAAAAGCTGAGTAAAACAACCAGCAAAAGAAATTTCTTTTTTAACTTTTAAGAGATTGGTTAGGAACTTTGGGGTGACAGATGAGGAGTAACAGATGTCCAAGAAAGACAGGTTGCCAAGTAAGAAGTACATGGGGGTGTGAAGTTGTGAGGTGGACCTGATTAAGAGAATCATGCCCAGATTCCCCACCAGAGTGGTGGCATAGACAGCACAGAAGATCACAAAGAGGGCAATTTCCACCTGAGGAAGGTCTGTTAGCCCTGTGAGTAGGAACCTGTTCACCAACGTGATGTTTCCTGTTTGCATCACGGTGACGCTGTGGAGAAAGGAAGAACACAGAAATCAGCATTGCTTTTTCTTTTAGAAACCCAAGAACTAAAATACTGAAAAAAGCCCAAATTCCTCTCTGATGTTGTATCAAAGTGTTGGAGAAGGCGGAGAGATGGGACTATTCCTTCAGAAATCAGCTTTTGTTCTGATTGATGTGACCACACAGTGAAAAACACTCTGTACAGGATTAACACATCAATATCATTTCTTAAATATACTGGACATACATTGATGGTGAACAGTGTTTGAATGGGCTTTGGTTATAAGCAAGATAAGGGGCAATAAATATAATAACAGATTGTCGTCTACTAGGTTTTTGTAGGAATGTTTTTAGTAGGAATGTTAGACATTGCAGAGTCATGTGTAATTATACAACCAAAATACAAGTACTGTATATGCAAACTCTCAAAGAGGAAGAAACAGCCAAGAAGCCAGTTGACTGCAGACTTTAACCATGTACATAGAGCCCTCATAACCAAAGTGTGCCTTCCAGTTCAATGCAGATGTACATACTTCCTCACAGACCATCAAAATTAAAAGGGGTTTTGACCAGTAAGAAGACTGAATACTATTGCTTAGAGCAGCCTTTCCAAACCTGAGGCCTTCCAGATATTTTTGAACTATCGTCATTTCCAGCCTACATGTTCAATGATCAGGGATGGTGAGAGTTGCAATCTAAAATTCTGATGGGCACCACCTTGCGTTAGGCTGCCCTAAATCTTTCCTGTTTTGAGAATTAATTGCTGATGCTATGCTGTATCTGCAGAGATTTCACCAGTGAATGCGTCTTTCAAGTTCCCTACCGTTCTCCTTTTTCCTTATTTGCCAAAATGAAGAGAGAGAAAACTTGTTAAGATCTGCGGTTGGAATGATGTGTGTGTGTTTGTGTCTAAAGCATATTCAGGCAATAGCAGCATAAAGCAGCAGTCAGATAGTTGCACTAATAGCCACAATTCTTTTTTCACATAAACTGAGAAAATGCTCCTGAACTTACTCTCTTTCTTGAAACTTCATTGTGCCTTCAATAGTTCAAAGCATTCTGTTTCTTTCAAGGCGATTTCTCACCTGAATGCAAGTGAACCTGAATCCTTGTGAAACCAATAGCAAAATCCATCTAGTGGTTTGAAGGAAGCCAGATATACTCCAACGCTTCGTGGCTCTAGGGCTTTTTTTTTTTTAACCATAATGACAAACAATTATGTTAACTTGGCTTTCATTATGACTAGTGGGGAAATCTTGATGCTCCCTGAAGTACCTCAGATCCCAAGCACATGCTTACAAGACAATACGAAACATTTATCTAATATTTACCCACTGAAGTCAATGGAGGCCAAATTGCAGTTGCCCCCATACCCAAAAAGAACATTTGAGAAACGTAACTTTTTGTATATCAAGTTACATTTAATGAAGCATCAGGATCTTTATTCAATGCACCTAACTTTCATAGTGCAGGCAGGCAGAGTTGAGTAAGGAAGGTATGGCTGTTTCCTTCATTTTGCCCAGAACAGGATCACTCTAGTGGTGGCCATGTAGGTGTGTGTGGATAATTGTTCACAAGTACATATCTTAAGGGTGTGCATGTGTATTACTTGGAGGAAAATGTGTGAGGACTATAAAGATGGAAATATATCCTCTCTTACTCACACACAAGCATTTCAGTTGCCACTCACTGAAATCGCCAACCCTCTGCCATCCAAAATATTTACACCTCTCTCTAGACCCCATCTCTGGGGTTGCCTTCACCGTTTAATGTTAAAGTACCACTTGCTACACTTATGACTAAAGCTCCATTTCTGGCAAAGTGTGTTCTCATTTCTGTTGCTCTCTGTGTACCATTAACGAGGACACTCTGCTAGCGAGACCAAATGAACAGATGTTAGTACAGTGGTGCCTCGCAAGACAAAATTAATCTGTTCCGCGAGTCTCTTGCTGTGTCCTGCAGCTATGTGTGAACTTCATGCTAGCCTTTGGGCTAAGCTCTCCCAGGCAAGACAAATTGCCAGTCTGTCTCTCTGGAAGGAGAGCAATGGGTCACCATGGATGTATTGCGTACGTCCTGATATTGTAACCATGCTAGTTTGCATCTCCAGGCAGCAGCAGTCTGTCTTCTGGAAGGATAGAGCAGGGTCATCGACCTGCCTTGCATAATTAAAGTTCTCATAGTCGTTCATGTTCTGGATGAGCTTATTCCTGGAACATGGAGAAGTAATCTACAAGTGTGTATCGAGACACTTGCCCCAAGAAAATCTTGCAGCTTTGAATGTTGCTATACCATGATGTAGCAATATTCCAAAGGCATTGTTGAAGAAGAGGTGGATTTGCTGGCATGCTGGTAGAGCAGCAGCTACACGTGCTTATAACTGTAAGTGTTGGAATAAACGAACAGCAGAGCAGTTTTATTTGCATGTTCTGAGACAAAATGTTGTGGACCATCCTTTTACGTGTAGTGCTATCTCCTGCAATCTGGAGAAGGTCTAACTTGTATGGAAGGTATCATCCTAGACTGAGAAGCAGCTTTTCTTCCCAGGATTTTTGGGAAGGCACTCCTGACTTCCTGGTTCCTCAGGCTGTAGATCAAGGGGTTCAGCATGGGAGTCACCACTACATAGAAGACAGAAGCCATTTTGTCAAGGTGGTGATTTTGCCTAGAACTGGGACGTGCATACATGAAGCTAGCACTGCCAAAAAAGATGGTGATGACCATGAGGTGAGATGTGCAGGTGGAAAAGGCTTTCCGTTGGCTCTTAGTGGACTTTATCTTTAAAATAGTGACCAGGATGTAGGTGTAAGAGGTGAGAACAATTGTTATGGTTATTGTTATATTGAACCCAACAAAGATAAAGAGCAAGATTTCATTGAGACTGATGTCTGAGCAGGCCAGCTCCAGTAGGGGAGGAATTTCACAGTAAAAATTATTAATGATGTTTGGTCCACAGAAGGATAGCCTTGATGCAGCAACAGTGTGCACCAAAGCATTTACTGTACCAGCTGCCATAGGAAAGAGCAACTAGCTCAATGCACTTTCTTTGGGACATGGTGATTAAGTAGAGCAATGGGTTGCAGATAGCCACGTAGCGGTCATAGGCCATCACTGCCAGCAGGTAACACTCAGTGGTGGCAAATACACCATAAAAGAAAAGCTGAGTAAAACAATCAGCAAAAGAAATTACTTTCTTCTCCTTTAAGAGATTGCTTAGGAACTTTGGGGTGACGGATGAGGAGTAACAGATGTCCAAGAAAGACAGGTTGCCAAGTAAGAAGTACATTGGGGTGTGAAGTTGTGGGCTGGACCTGATTAAGAGAATCATGCCCAGATTCCCCACCAGGGTGGTGGCATAGACAGCACAGAAGATCACAAAGAGGGCAATTTCCACCTGAGGAAGGTCTGTTAGCCCTGTGAGTAGGAAGCTGTCCACCAATGTGATGTTTACCGTTTGCATCATGGTGACGCTGTGGAGAGGGGAAGAACACAGAAGTCAATATTGTTTCTCCTTTTAACATCTCAAGATAGGCATACTGGAGAAAGTCCCTCTCTGGTGTGGTATCAGAATATTGGGGAGAGGAGAAGTAGGTTTTGTTCTGCTGAAAGTCAGTCAAACCCCATCAATATTAAATCAGTCACCAGTGTGCTGTTTTCCTTTTACAATACTGTGACCCTATGGAGAGCAGATGAACATTAACAATTAGTGTTTCTTCTCCTTTACAAAACTCAGATATTTGTATCTAGATGATGATGGGGCTCCCTCTAACTTTCTGTCAAAGGAAAATGAAGAAGCAGATTTCTTCAGATGTAGCTGAAGTGGTAGCATAATGCTCTGTCTGCATTAAGAAACTTTCAGGCTGCTTCAGCATCACCTATGATACCTAGATAAAAATATTTTGGTATAGTATGAGAATCACGTAGTTTACAGTGAATAACCTAAAGTTATGAATTGTAGACTTGATTGGGGTTCTAGACAAAGGTAAAACATGGAGTCATGCCAAGGCAGTCAATTGTCTAGGACACATTGGGCATCAGATCTCAGCTCACACTGGCTCATGAATAAGCTTCTCTAATTTACTGCTTAAGAGTCATGGACAGAGGTGAGAGAACTATGATCACTACCATGTAGCTCACAAAACCTCAGAATAGACAGGTGATTTGTTCTGAACCTGAATACACATCAAATAAGGGCAAAATTAGCTGTGTTTGGGATTGTCTTTTCCCAGGACAGTTTCAGGACTTCTTTTTTAGTAATATCCTTTAGTCCAGAAATATTTCATGATTTACTCTTTGTCAAGGGATGTAGTACTTACATTTAAAATATGATTGCTGATCTGCTTACCCTTGCAATTCTGATGGACAGAAGCTCCAGCAGTAGTCCTACTTAAACTCATGATCATTGTGGTTTTTAAGGCACTTTGTGCTACAGAACATAATGTGTGCATGCCAACCAGAAGCAAGAGACAGACTTTTTACAGGTGAGCAAGTGCAGTTCTTTGCTAGAATTCAAGCCCATCTGTGCTCATCACTAGGCACTCAGCCTGTGCTAGTATATATCTTTCGGACAGTAAGAGCTGTTTTACAGTGGAATGGACTATCTCAGAAAGAGGTGGATTCTGCTTCATTTGAGGTTTTTAAACAGAGGTTGGATGGCCATCTATTAGGGATTGTTTTAGCTGTGATTCCTGCATTGAGGGAGGTTGGACTAGATGACCCTTGGGGTCCCTTCAATTCTATAATATGGAAGTCAAAATAGCCTGAGGTTTGAAAGTTCTATATACATGAAACATTTTTTCAAAAAAATCCTGGTCTGAACAGAATGAAGTCCCTCAAACTCATCCTGAGTTGGACACCCCACATTTACTCTCATTTCACTAATTTTAATAATGCTGTATACCTTACTCTTTTGAAACTAATTAAAATACCTCTTCAGCAAAGAAACACCCCCCCCAAAAAATAGTTTAATTCCTAAAACTGAAATCTTGAGACTATTTCTTCTGAGTTCCACTGACGTAAATAAGACTTACTTCCAAGTAAACATGGTTTATTTTCTACCTGGTGATCTTTTGCATTTTCATATCAGTTTGCCATCTTACCTAACACTGCCTAAGTAGATAATTTGTTTCCTTTCATCTCAATATTCTAGCTGCATCTTCGTGTAGATGAGTGGTTTTTCAGTTATATTCCATAGAATCCTGGCATTTCTCAGTTAACAACAAGCAATGACATACAAGCCTCTTTCCAAGGCGGCTTTTCCACCATTACACACCTTCCCAGTGAGCTCCAGCCAAGTATCCTTGGGTACATTTCAAAGCTGCATTTTCAGTTAATTTGGAAAAGCAGTACAGCCCAACTCACCTGGTCCCTGAATGAATTTTGTGTGGATTCCTCTGCAATGTTTCCTTGGTACAAATGCACACGTGGGGTCAGCAACAAAGTGTTGCAGTCTGCAGTATTCCTGATCAGCATTCCATCACCCAGTTTCCTTCCCCACCTCACCCACCCGGTTTTTTGTCTCCCCCTCCTAACAGTCAGTCAGCATTCCATGTCCACCATGCATGCCTATGTCATAGAGTTGTTTGGGAGGGCTCTGTCCCCTTTAGTTAAGGATGTTTGCTAAATATTATTTGTCCTTCAGAAAACTTTGGGGTTTCCTCAAGTCTGCCAGTACCTCCCTCATGTTTCATGTGGTTCTGTTTTGGATACCAAAAGATCCACACTCTGGGACTGAGCTCTCTATAGGATGACCATTCATCATCAGACAAGCAGTGCAGGAAATTTCAAAACTACTGTGTAGGTCCTATATCTTCCCCTTAACAGCTATTTATTTAAACTGGTCTTGTGAAGTATCACTCATGCTATTTCTGCAGACTTTTGTTCAGTACTTCTCTAAATATCCAATAAGTTCATTTTAGTTCATTTAAAAAAAAATGCTTCTCTCACAGCTGCTTCTGGAGGGATATTGATAAACAAAAGCATATTCCAGCAAGCAAAAACACAGAGCTGCTTAAAAATTAGACTGCTAGTAACCACACTGTGCTTCTTAGACTTAGAAATGCACCTGAACGTACTTGCTTGCTTTCCGTTCAGTTGCATCTTCAGCATTTTGTCATTCTGTTTCTTTCCAGTTTAATGCTGATTGCTTGATGGGTTTCTCTGTGTGGAGCGCACAGCAAAATGCTTCTGCCAGAGTAAGAAAATTTAAAAAACCTCAAAATAATATTGAAGCTTCCCACAATCACAGCAAAATGATGTTGTTTCTTTTGCTCTCTTTGGAACTAAAAAGGAGAAGACGATCCCATCGAGGAAAGTCTTGGCTTTGGGACCTTATCCCTAAAGGACTACAGACCCATATGAACATTGATTCCTACCAATTACATGGTGAAGACAAATGCGAGCCAAATTACAACTATCTGAAAGATTTGCCACTGGGGGATGTGAAGCACAACTGGGATGATTTTGTGACACTCCCCCAAATTATTATTATTATTTATTTATTTATTTATTTATTTATTGGGTTGTATACAACTAACCTGTCCCATCAGTGCAAGGATTTCTGCTCATGCAGCTGGACTTCCCTCGCTCTTCTTCCTGTCTCTTATATGCCATTTGCCCTCCCCCAACCTGCTCTGGAGGGTTGGGGGAACCCCCAAAAGAATTTGGGAGGGGACGGGGGGAGAAGAGGGGGGATAAAGTTTCATTGCACAATCAGAAATCCTTGCACTAATAGAAAGTTCATTTAGAATGTTGGACTCCACCCATTACGTTGATCCTATACCTTCAACATGATAATGCTTCCCACCTGTTTGACACTGTCAGGGCAGCTAATGAAAATGTAATAAAAACAATGTATGGTAAGATAATATTGCATTCTACACAGGGCTTTTTTCCAGCCATTAATCGCTGGAACTCAGTTCTGGCACCTCTCAGAGGGTTGCCATTGCCATTATAAGAGAACAAGCTTTTTTTATATAGAAAAATAGCACTGCACAAAGCCAAGGATTCTTGACAGGGGCCTAGTTCACATTTTAAACTATGGAAGATGGGAGGGGCATGTGTTGGAACAACTGTTTGTTGTTCAACAAATAATGAGCAGGAGTGGGCCCAGTATCCCCGAAGGAGCGTTTCCACCCCCATCATTCAGCCCAGACACTGAGGTCCAGCTCCAAGGGCCTTCTGGCAGTTCCCTCACTGCGAGAAGTGAGGTTACAGGGAACCAGGCAGAGGGCCTTCTCAGTAATGGCACCCGCCCTGTAGAATGCCCTCCTATCAGTTGGCGGTTTGAATCCGCACAATGGGGTGAGCACCCATTGCTCTGTCCCAACTTCGAAAGCATGCCAGTGCAAGTAGATAAATAGGTACCACTGCAGCGGGAAGGTAAACAGCGTTTCTGTGTGCTCTGGTTTCCATCATGGTGTCCCATTGTACCAGAAGTGGTTTAGTCATGAGGCCACATGACCTGGAAAGCTGTCTGTGGACAAATGCTGACTCCCTCGGCCTGAAAGCAAGATGATTCGCCTTTGACTGGACTTAATCGTCCAGGAGTTCTTTACCTTTACTTATGCTTTTTTTTAAAAAAAATATGTAGAAATTAGATGGAAAACAGAAAGAGATTGAAAGTAGACTGATTCATCCATCCCGAGTCTATATTTACATGGTACACTCTCTCTTAATGGTGGAATGTTCTCAAATTCCTATTTATAAGTAGCATCACAATGCATTAGGAACACACACACTGGTTTTGCAAGTGATCACTGATCTAAATAGTTTTTAGTACCTAACAGCACATTGAGGGCAGCAGTTCAATATAATATCACCAATACAGTAGCAGTACCTCTAAAACAGGCAAACCTGTGACCCTCCAGATAGAACAGGACTACATCTCCCATCATCCCTAACCATGACAATGCTGACTGGGGCTGATGAGAGTGGTGGTTCCACAACAACCGAAAGGCCAAAGATTCACTACCTCTTTTCTAAATTAGATACTTTAATTGGCTACTTTCTGTTAAACATCCTTTATTCATTGCTTTGTATTTATCAATTTTAATTGCTCTGTATCTTATAAGTTGCTAGGAAATGTGTTCACTTCTTTAAAAATAGTCTTACTGAAACTTTTTATACACTTGGTTAGGGTTTTTTTGTATCATTTGGTATAGTACTGCCACACAGTGGTTGCTGGTTATATTATTGTTGCCATGCTGGAATGTTTATCATATTTGTTATTAACTGATAGTTTCTTTTATGATTTCAAAAATAAAGTGTTCCTAGTACTTAAACTGAGCTATTTGTTAGCTTGCTGTTATTCTTTGAAATGATTTTGTATTTGCTTTGCATTGTAGTGATGTAATGATTTGCATTTTTGTTGTTCTGTTGTGAACCCCCCTGGGCAGATTTATATGAAGCAGCGGCATACAAATTTAAATAATAAGTGCCCATCCAAGATAGGCTAGAACAATAAAATTTTCAAAATATCAACAATAAAAAAACCATCAACCACCCCTCCCCACAAGATAACAGCCAATAAAATTTTTCAGTCAGTCAGTCAGTCAGTTAAAACACCTTGTAGAGCAATAACAAGCCACAATCCAGAGCATTAAACATCAATCATAAATATGTCATGTCATGGTCTTCTGAAAGGCTTGTAGCATGGGAGCCTGTCCACTGACAGGGAGTTTGAAAGTCATGAGGCCACCACAGAAAAGGCCCTTTTCCTTGTTGATCAGCCTCACTGATCTAGGTAGTGGGGACACAAGGAAGGTCTCTGTTCTAGATCTCAGCATGCAAGCAGGCTGATATGGGTGCAGGAAGACCATGAAATAGCTTGGGCACAAACCATTTTAAAATGTGAAGATAAAAACCAGCACTTTGAATTGGGCTTGGAATTAAAGCATCAATCAGTACAGTCATGGTGTTAACAGAATCTAAGCACCTCAGTCCCCTCAGAGTTCTGGCAGCTGCAGTCTGAACTAGCTGAAGTTTCCAAAATCAAACCTGGACATTTAATTTGTTTTGTTTTCATCTCCATATAAGCAGACTAATCATTGACTGTCACTCCGACAGTTTTGCCCCTGTGTGCTTCAAAAACCAGAAAATCCTCAGGGAACAGGTCCCCACGCTGCAAATTCTCAATATAAAGGCTCCTGTCTATGGGATGCAATGCCATATGTAGGAAGCAGCTTGCTTTGCATGCAGAGATTTCAGAAATTTATGACTGGGTAGAGGTAGAAAAGCATGGAGCGAAGGGAGAATTTCTTTCCATAGAAGAGACAAAGATGCTACGCCCAGAACCAGAACCCAAAATCAGTGCAGGAATAAGCAAAACACTCAGCCCATAAGGGAAGATCTCAGAACCAGACAAGAACACGACCTGGTAAGTTTAAATATCTCTGATACTGGCTCTAGAATAACAACCTAATGTAGTTTGAAAATATTTCTTTAGCAAGACCAAAGAAAACAGCAATTTGCCCTTACACAATCGGCCAGGTGATGGAGGCAGAAATCTGAGGAAAGTTAGAGCACCAATTCTAGACAGATTAGTGAGTGACTCTGTTTTGTTATGTCTAAGTATCTTCGTTAGAAAGCAAAGTTGTAGATTTTGGGTAGGACATTGCACTAACTTGATTTTCTGATCAGTGCAAGCCCTTCTGCTTGTCCGAAGGAATGTTCTCCCCCTTTCCCCCCATACACTGTTCTGAGTGTTCTGTCAACCCTGCAAGGCGAATTAGAGGACAAGCATGTGGGAAGGATAGGGGGACTAGCTTCCATTAGGACATCAGCCTATTACAGTGGTACCTCGGGTTACAGATGCTTCAGGTTACAGACTCCGCTAACCCAGAAATAGTACCTTGGGTTAAGAACTTTGCTTCAGGATGAGAAGAGAAATCACGTGACAGCGGCGCGGTGGCAGCAGGAGGCCCTATTAGCTAAAGTGGTACCTCAGGTCAAGAACAGTTTCAGGTTAAGAACGGACCTCCAGAACGAATTAAGTTCTTAACCCGAAGTACCACTGTATCTCATTCAGCAGTTAAAATGGACTCCAGGGTTGAATTTCCTCACTGGCACACTGCAAAGTCATATGCATGCATTTGTTTCCTTTGCTCAGACTGGAAACTGTATGGTATAACAGGGAGAATTGAGTTCCCAAATGTAGAGGAGGATTTGTTCCCTTAAGAGCAGAAGTTTGTTTCCTAGGTTCTGAGTAATAGATTCTTACAAAGGGAATGTAAGAACTGAAGGGGAGGAAAGAAGTTGTAAAACAGGGTTGAGGAACTGGATCTGGCCAACAAATTTTAGTGTCAGTGTTTTTATTATATATAGATATCATTGCAAACTGCTTTGAATTAAATAATATAGCAGCACATATATATATATTTAATAAATAAATAAAACAAGCCAGAACTGAATCTCCCCCACCCGCATGAGCCACATTCGACCCACATACTTTGAAAGTAAGCCTTGCAGGTGCAAACATGCCCTGTGCAGTACTTTGAAGCCCCCATGATCAGATGATAACCAGGACTCCAAAGCTCAGCACAGAGCCCTGTGTGGTGCTTTGAAGCCCCGACGACCAGGTGGTTGTTGTGGTTTCAAAGCACCGCACTCAGCTGTAGGCAAGGGCTGAGCTTTGTGCAGATGCCTGCAAACCCCATTTTTTGTCCAGCCACTTCTTTCCTAGCTCCACGCTCAGTTTCACATATGACATCAGATAAAGAGCAGGTGAGCATGGGTTGGCAAAAATTACCTTGCAAACCAAATGGTGTAAACATGTTAAATTTGCATACTGATACTGAATATTATTGCCTTAACAATGTTTTAAAAGATTAAAGGTAGCATCCAACTTTAATCAGAGAGCAAATGACCTATGGAAATCTATGGCTTAACTGGATAAAATCCTGAAGATTTAAATGCCTGATCAAGCTAGAATTGAGTCCTTTGGTCTTTCACACTTAGGAAGTGTATCTTTATGATCCTGATACTTCTTAGTGCTTTATGATTGTGTGTGTTAAGGTATATTTTGCTCTTGCTAGTTCTAGTTAGTTGTGTTATTTTTTGTACTGTAGTTTTATTCTGTTTTCTTTTAGAGTTTATTGTTGGTCATTGTTAACTTTTATTGTTAACCATGCAGAAGACATTGCTAACTGGCTGGTATGCAAATGATGTAAAATAAATGAATGAATGGACACACAAGCTTAGCATTTTGTTTCCTGCCTAGGGAAATGACAGGCACCTGCCAACATTTATGCATCACTTATTCAACGTTCATCTAAACTGATGTAAAATGCTCAAGAAATACATTATATACACATTACTTTTTATTTTTCAGTAAAGAATATATGCATTTTTTAAATCCCTAAATTTGCATATCCATTTCCCACATTTTCCATCATACAGGATGATTAGGAGGATGACAGGTATGGTCTGTAGCAGCAATAGTTAAGTTAGTGTTAGTTTTCAACCAAGTTTAAGACATCACCATTGTTTCTCTCCACTGTTTTACAGGTTTTGTGTTCTGTTATGATGGCCCAATGGAATCAAACCACAGTTTCAGAATTCATTCTTGTGGGATTCACAAACAACCCAGTGCTCCGCATTTCCCTCTTTGCAGTGTTTCTGACCATCTACGCGATCACTCTTCTGGGGAATCTCGGGATGATAGCACTGATTCACCTTGACCGCCACCTTCAAACACCCATGTACTTCTTCCTCAGCAACCTGTCCTTCTCAGATCTCTGTTACTCCACTGTCATCGTCCCCAAAACGCTGGCAGATTTCTTGGCTGAGAAGAAAGCCATTTCGTTCACTGGCTGTGCTGCCCAGTTTTATTTCTATGCTGTCTTTGCCACTGTAGAGTGTCTCTTGCTAGCAGCCATGGCCTATGACCGTTATGTAGCAATCTGCAACCCGTTGCTTTACCCAGTTGTCATGTCTAGGAAGATCTGCATTTGGCTTGTACTGGCTTCATACCTGGCGGGGTGTGCCAATGGCATGATACACACAAACACCACCTTCCGCCTTCCTTTCTGCGGCTCTAATGTCATTAACCACTTCTTTTGTGATGTACCCTTAATACTGAAGCTTGCTTGCTCCAACACAATGCTCAACCACATCCTGCTATTTGTGATCTCTTCCCTGATAGGTCTCTGTTCATTCCTCACCATCCTCATCTCTTACATCTACATCCTCATCACCATCCGTCGGATCAGCTCATCTGAGGGACGCAAGAAAACCTTATCTACCTGTGGCTCCCATATGATGGCTGTCACCTTGTTCTATACCACCATCCTTTTCATCTATCTGAAGCCTACCTCAAGTGACGCTGATGCCCAAGACCAAGTTGCTGCTGTCTTTTATACAGTGGTGATCCCCATGGTGAACCCTTTGATCTACAGCCTGAGGAATAAGGAAGTGAAGGCGGCTCTGAAAAGGATCGTGAGGAAGAAAGGTATTTCCGCTGAGGCATAAATTATGCACTTTGGGTGCTTCCAGGTGGGTGATAATTGTGAGATCGGTGCTCCTCTTACACGCAAGTCTTTGGCAGGGCTAGCATGACATCATTGTCATCAAAACAGCACGTGCTAAGATCCTCCAGTTGAGAACTTCTGTTGGTTCCCCATATCCCTGAGGTCTGGTTGGTCACCACTAGGGATAGAGATTTTAGTGTGGCAGGCCCTGACCCATGGTATTACTTGCCTGAAGAGATTCAACGGAGATCCTCCCTCCCTTCATTCAGATGTCTCTTGAAGTCTTCCTTGTTGGGCCTGCCCTTTGCAACATTAATTTCCTTTATAATCCGATCAGTATTTATTGATGTTTTAAATAATGCTTTTAAATGGATATCTTTGTTAACCTTGCTTTTACATGTTGTATTCCACCTTGTTATATTGTTTTATGAATGTGTGGCCTATAAATTCATGAATTAAATAAATAAACTCACTGCCTCACCTCTTCATAGATGATGAAGTGCCTACTTCCCTTGAGCTCTGTGATGTTCTTGAGGGATCTGCAGAAGGGCCTATGGGGTGTTATAGGGATGCTAGGCTAGGTTAGCTTCCTCTTGTGGGAAGAAAAGTGCAGGATACAGTAGTTAGCACCCTGTGGCATCAGATTATGAAGAGATTCTTACCCAATCCTGCCACTTGTAGCTTTCCAGTATGAGATGTACTTGCCTAGACTTTTCACCTGGTTCATCTGTGTGGGATCATTTCCTGCTTGCATGGTTTCCAGTCAGCCCTTGTAATACTACCCCTGACCATCAGCACAGTTTCCACCTGTCACATGCAGCACCCTGGCTTGCAAGAAGAATCAGCTCAAAAACAGCCAGCAAGGTCAGGTTATCAGTTCCCTTAGGGAGTCACCATGGCTTCAAACAAATAAATGACACTTGCTTCTCTTGGGTGGATGTGCAACCCCAACCCAAGGGAGAGGACTTGTGCTTTCAGAAAGTCATCCAACAATATATCACAATATCCTCTTCGTCCCACAATATATCACAACAGCATGGTAGCGCATTGTAAAGAATAAGCACACTTCAGGGGAATTTGTAAAGTCATGCTTGTGAGCAAGCAAGTTCCCTCCTAGAACCCCCTTCTGTTCACATAGTGAGACCTCAAAATATACTCAAGCATTTTCAATGGCAAGTTAGCAACATAACATCTTACTGCATCTTTACACAACATAAAACTCTAACCAGTTTTCTCAGTTGGCATCTCCATGCAGCACAGACCAGGAGAAGGTGAGACACCTCTATTGTCGAACCAAAATGCAAGGGTATAGATAGAAGAAGGAGAGGGCTTAATCCACATAACAAGGCACAGAAGCATAATCCTGACTTTGTGTCTTGATTGTCTTCTGGAAAGGTATAAATCTTTGCCCCGTCTCTATTTCCTGTTGATCTTCAACACTTTCCTTTTGCATACCTTTAGGATTTCTTTATTCTTTGGAATAGAGTGTGTGAATGTATTGATGACAGTAATTCACTGTTTAAAAGCTATGTACTGTCTGTCTTTTTCTTGAATTAAATTGATCTTTTGCGAGTTTCTTATTGTGGAAAATTATTTATCAGGAATAAAGGTGAAGGGTATAGACACATTTAAACAAATGCACCTCTGTCTGTGTGCTGAAGGTTTCGTTCCTCTCATAGAAGTGCATGTTGGAGGTCACATGAGCAGTAACACACATGTGGATTCAGAGATAAACATGCAAAACCACTGCAGACATTGATCCCAAAGGATTATAGCTTTCCTCCTTTGCACTTGCTTAGGTGGACTGGAATTATGAGCCATAATCAGTTTAAGGTCAAATTCAAGGTTGTGAGCCAGGATGGGGTCAACTAAAGAAAACAAACAGCAGGAGCGATCACCTAGTTCTAACCTTGAATTATAAGGCTTTGAAGAAGGCAGTTAAATTATCTATGTTTTGTTTTAGATCTAATAAGTTAATAAAGATGTGAACCTTATTTCCATTTTTAAGTCAGGTCTCCCCATGCTGAACCCTTTGATCTACAGCTTGAGGAACAAAGAGGTGAAAGATGTTGTGAGGCAGCTGATCAAGGGGAAGGGCTTTCTATAGAACGGGGGGGGGGACCCATAGATTCAGTTATGTAAAAGAAAGAATGAATCAGAGGTAGCCAACATTGTGACCTCCTATTGTTGCTGGTTTGCAGCTCCCATTACCCCTGACCATTGGCCAGGCCAGCCTGGCAGAATATGGCAAGAGTTGGAGGAGTGAAGATAACTCAATTGATGACATGTATTCTGTTACTCTCTTCAATTAAATTTATTAGGTAAAAGGAAGAGTGGAAGGTTTTTAGGAATATAAACAAAGCCCAGGAGGTTTTGAGGTGCTAAAACACTGATTTTCAAGGTTCCTCATCTGGGGCTTGCAATTAGATAAGAGATAAACCAGAATTTATAGCAGGAAGGTAGCATGTTACATGTGGTTAATAGGTTAATCAGGATGAGGAAATGAGTCTGTTATAATGTTATGGGGCTAAAATCTGGTTTAAACATTCAAGAAGTGGTGATTTAAGATTAGAACAAGCTTTGGGGCGATTGATTTACGTGGCACTGAAAGAATTTGAAAGGCATTGAGAGCTTCATGAAAAACTGTTGGCTAGAAACCAGGACGCCTAAGGAAAAAGGCAGTTTAGGAAGCTGGCTTGTGTTCCTAAATCAGGGGTGGGGAACATTTTTCAGCTCAACAACTACATTTCCCTGTGGGCAACCTTCTGGGGTCCATCTGCCAATGGTGGGCAGGGCTTAAAGGAAAAGTAGACAGGATGACCTTTATATAGTGAGCTGTATTATCCAGCCATGCAAAAGTCAGAGATTTCTACAACACCGTGCATATCTCTCTATACATTATCCAGGCAAGCAAGAGGCATTATCATACTTCAAGGATGCATTCCACCAAGACAAAAGCATGTGGAACAGGGTGAAGCCCAGGGGAGAAAAGGTGCATCCTGGAAAGAGTCTCAGGAGCCAGACTGAAAGAATTAGAGGTCTACCTTTGGTCTCTGGGCTAACTTCACAAATGTTTAGAGCAGATTGGCAGTTACAGTAACCTCCTTTGAACATTAACAGATGCCAGTCACCTGACAACCCAGCCATCTGGGTCCACAGGGTTGAGGGGATGAGGGATCCAACCTGCTGACTCGATCTAGTTCCCCATCCATGGTTTATATGAAACCCCCAGTTCTGCTAAAGTTTGTCACAACTTGGTCCCATCGCAATGGGTTTTGAGATCCTTGTGACTAACTTGGTCTAGTAGTTTCAAGGAATTGCTTGTGAACAACTTTAAATTTCATGTTCCTGTTCTTTCATACCACCTCATCAGTAGAACTCAAGATAGCATCCATATTCTACACAACGGGAATGTAGGCAGCTGACCAGAATATTTATCCAAATGGTCCAAGACTATCTGCTTTAGCAGGCAGGGTCTCTCCAGGGTCTCATGCAGGTGAGAGATGGGGAGAGTCAATGTAATTGTGAGAGGGGTTAACAAACCAATTGCCCGAGAAATTTCCATGATTGGGCTGATTTTGTTGAGAGCACTTTTGAATGTGTACATTTTAATGTTTGCTGAGTTTGGGGATTGTTTGTTTTATCTACACATTGCAGTTGAAATGCACTATGTTTTGAAAGTAATTGCTATTGAAATTGCTGGTATGTTTTTTTAAAAAAATATTTTTAATTAATTTTCCATTTAAACATATGTAATCACATCATTGTAATCCATTTTCCTTCTTTGGCTCTTTAGAGCCTGTCGACTTCCTTCCCTCCCACCTCTTGGCTTTTAAAAGTAACCTTTATATCACAGCACTTTATATATTTTCCAATTCAAATATAACTCATTACAAAATACCTCAAAGTTTAAATAAATGTAGAAAGGTTAAAAAAAAATCTCATTACAAGTCCTCAGGTAACCCTACTAGTGTTGTTAATTACTTACAATGGTCTTTCAAATATTGTATAAATTTACTCCAGTCTTTTTGGAATACTTGATCATGCTGGTTTCATATTTTTCCCTTCAGCTTCGCCAGTACCGCAAAGTCCATCATTTTCATCTGCCACTCTTCTTCTTTCGTTGGTACTTGTTGTTTCCATTTTTGGGCTAAAAGGATTCTTACTGCTGTTGTTGCATACATGAACAGTCTTTAATCTTTTTTTGGTATCTCTTCACCTACTATACCCAGTAAAAAGACTTCTGGTTTTTTTAACAAAAGTGTTTTTAAACATTTTCTTTAACTCATTATATATGGGAAATGAAATTGCTGATATGTTGTTACGAAATGCTCATTGATGTTTACATTATGTGTAACGTATTGTGGTTTCTGTTTTGTGCCTTTAATGTGGAAAAGTTGGCATATACATTAAATTTAAATCTAACTTAAGTTTCTTCCCATATTTTCTTTGAAAATCAAATGCAGATGCAGAGGATTCAGTGGGCAGTGGAAGACAACTTTGGGGGGTGGGACCTGCCTAACCCTTTAACCTCTGACAGTTTTTCTGATAAAAATTTACCCCAACTATTTTTCCAAGGAGGTAAAGGGAATCTGGGTTTTTCTTCTGCAGGGGGTAGAACATCTTCAGGGGATAACAGCTTTGGAGAGTGGCAGATGCTACAGCCCCTGGATGACTTTGTCCCATACAGTGAAATGGACCTGTATCTGGAAGCCTAGGTTGCAGCACCATTATCCAGCAATAGAAGTATAGAAGTTACACTTCTACTTACACAAGTAGAGAGATGGCTATAGACTCACGTCTTGCTTATGGGCTTTCCATAGCCCTCTGGTTGGCCACTGTGAGAACAGGATGCTGGACTGAGTGGACCTTTGGTCTGATCCAGCACAGACATCTTACATTCTTATTATATCACTGGGCTTAAGTGTACTATGCTCTCTACTGGATTGTAGTCTAGATCTGCTTTTTACACTACAGTGGTACCTCGGGTTACATACGCTT